ATCAATAGTGCTGTTGTAGAAATCCATAATCGATGTTTAAAGGAAAGCCCGTCGGCCCACCATCCTGTACAGGTCAATTCAATCTCCAACCAACGTTCAACCAGGTTCCCACTTGTCTTTCAGTATCAATAATCAATTCAATCAATAGTCAATTCAATAATCAATGCAATAAGCAATATTAAAGCAATCTAGAACAATCATATCAATAGTCATATGCATATCAATTCAATCTATCAATTTTGAGAAAATCAGAAATCATACGAAAATCGGGCAGAGTAACAGTAGTCTGTCAAATTTACACAAAAATCCTGCAAAAAGGCACAAATTCCAAATTTCTCCAAATTACAGTAGAATATTCACGACATCAATACAAGACTATTATTCTATAGAATCCAAATTAAATCACGTCCTGATATTTTTCTATTCAATAAAAATCGCGTAGAATCAATTCCGACCGGTAAAATCGTCGCAGAAAATACTCAAATCGTGTACAATAGTCATATCTATAACATACCAAAATTTGTGCGATGAAAGTTGTGTCAATACCAAATCAGGTCAAAAGTTCGACTACGAAAACACAAAACAGTGCACAACTCGGTCAAAACACAATATCTCTGAAAACAGAAATAGGATTCGGAGTCCTTACCACGAGATCTTCACTTTCTCCAACAGCGGCGTCGGACGAAAAGCGCTCCGCGGCCTCCGAAACCAAGCTTTTCTCTTTTCCTTTCTCTTTCTCTCTCCTCAAATCAGATATTTTGTTTTAAAATGATTTTCTCTCTCCTCAAAACGAGCTGATTTTCTTATATCATAAAGCTGATCGGCCCGGCCGATCGCGAGAAAAAATGAGGAACAACATTCAAAACAGGACGACAATTCCCTGAAGAGTGCCCAATACATTTGCAAGCAGCACAAAAATGAGGAAAATCATCTAAAATCACCTCTTGGACATAACCCAAGGTATCAGATCCTAACCAAACTTGCTTAGGATAAGATTTAGTTATGTCAAGTTCAACTAAGACCCGCGCATTTAAAGGACGGGAACCCACTGACGTTGCTTCATCAATTTTCAAAGGTTTATCAAAGATCTCACCAAGCCCAAACAGAATACGTGGGGAGAAAAAATGAGGACGAAGACGAGGAAACGAAATCCAAATCGGGATAACCGGCGACTCAACACCGATATCCAAGCTAGGCGACCATTTAGTTAATTTCATATAGCAATTGAAGACAAGGTAAGATCGGTGACAAAAAACACTACAATAATCGAAATCATTTGATAACTTGATCAGAATGTGAGAAGGGTCTAACACAGTCACAAAGACTTCACCATTAAGCTTCAAATTGAAAAAAAAAATTACGAATAGATTCAAGAAGGGGTCTCTTAGAAGGGAAAAAACCAACTAACGAGAATTGAAAGGGGGTAGCAAGTTTATTGATTTCCTAGTCGGAAATCCAAAGAGACGGTAACCCACGGAACGTAGACTTCCGCAAATCCGGAAAGGCAGGCTTAGAATGAGCTATAGCCTCAAGAAAAGGACGAGAATGAGATACCCCACCAAAAAAATCAGGGTCCTTAAGCTTACTCGGTGCCATGCCGGCACCACCGGCGAAATCAGAGAAAAACCACCAAAAAGTTCTTCAAACCAAAAGAAGAAAACAGGGAAATAAAAAACTTCCCTGAATCCAGGAGATCGCCAGAGAAGAACCACCGCTGGGCGGGGGAAAACCCGGAGAAAGCAAACCCTAGCAGAGCGGCGCTGAGGGAAAGATTCTTTAAGAAAATGTCATTTCATTTTTAAAAAGATAGTGAAAATTTATTAAAATAAAAACCTTGAATTAATGATGTAAACTTAAGCAATGATTTATGATTTCTATTAAAAAATAAAAATGACACTCAGATTAATTTATATTTTAAAATAAAATTTTTCGTTTCTTAAATTTAATTAATTTTTTTTTCATTGAAAAATAAAAATTTGAATTAAAAATTAAAAAAAAAATTTGATATTGTTCTTCTAAATTTTTTTTAAAAAAAATTTAAATGTTGATTGGACAAGTAAGTCGCCCTTTGAAGAGAAGATTATGTCTATTTTTTACATTTTTTTATAACATACTTAATCATATAATTTAATTACTAATAATATTTAGTTTAAAAATTTACCTTTAATATAATTATAATTTTATTATATGTAACTGAGACTTATTTCTAAAAGAACCTAGATATTTATATAAATTTTTAATTAAAATTTTAAACCAATAAATATCTCTCAAACTATAACGAAACTCTGTTCTCGCACGACACAAATATCACCAAAGATTTCTCTAAACATTTTCGTGGCCATGCTTAGAGAAAATTTATTCAGACAACTTCCCTCGGGATTTTTGACCCTCTATAACGGTCCACATTGCCTCCAGTTTTCTATAAATTCCCGGATTGCTGCTTCTTCATGGCCTACACTTCCCGAGAAAAGGAACAAAATGCCTTCCCGGTTCGATTTTCTATCCTCATTTACCCTTCCAACGTTTCTCTTCACCGTCCACCGTCACTTCCTTTCTCCTCGCCCCACCTCCTGGACTTCTCTCGACTTAAATGACATTCACCGGAAACCTACTTCCGTTGGCAATCAGAGTAATTACTCTGTCCAAGCTGCTGGGAATTTTTCCGAACAGCTTGTGGGCGATGTTGCGGTGAAGCGGAGAAACGTGGCTGGGGTCGACCAGGAAGATCTTGTAGATCCGGAGAAGCTCGCGGATCCTGACAGCCTTTTCTTTGAGATCAATGGGGTCAGAATTCACCACAAGATATGCCATCATGAGGCTAATGAAGACGATAAGGAGGAAGCTTTTCGTGGCAAAGTTGGATTGCCAACGATCTTATTACATGGTTTTGGTGCTTCAGTTTTCTCGTGGGGTCGAATAATGAAGCCTCTGGCTTGCTTGATCGGCTCAAAGGTTCTGGCTTTTGATAGGCCTGCGTTCGGACTGACATCAAGAAAAAGCTATATTAAGAACAGGGAGCCTGGAGCTGTTGATGACAAACCATTGAATCCATACTCGACGGCTTTCTCCGTGTTGGCTACGCTTTCCTTCATAGATATGTTAGGTGCAGGGAAGGCTATTTTGATGGGGTATGTAAGGTTTCTTCTTTAATCATTATTTGGATATTTTAAAAAGCTTTTCGTATAATTAACAAGTTAATTGGAATGTCAGGCACTCTGCTGGTTCTTTAGTAGCAGTGGACGCATATTTTGAATCTCCTGAGAAAGTTGCTGCATTGATTTTGGTTGCTCCTGCAATCTTTGCCCCTCTTATTATGAAGAAAGAAGCAAAGGGCGGAGCAGTCGGGAAGAGAAAGAAGGCAGGAGATGGCGATTTAGATATGGGCGCAGTTGAGAATCCTTTTTCCAGGATTTGGCATGGTTTGTGTAAGCTCTGTGGGATCATTGCAGGTTTTATACTTGGAATGCTAAATAAAATGACTAATATGGTCAGTTCATTTTCTGCTAAAGTCTTGGCTTCTCTCATTAGATCAGCATTTGGTATTATGCTGGTGAGTTGAATGTTTCATTGATCTCCTTTTGTTTAATAATCTTGAGATTTTTTTGTTCTGAAATTGAGATTTTTCATTGTAATTTGTTTATAAGAGAAAATATGATGTGCAACACAAGGTTGAAAATGATTATGGTAGATGATAATTAATAAAGCATCCCCATCAAAAGCTCATTAATTAGTATTTAGGGCGTGTAGGTTTTATGCTATTTGGGCTTCGAGTCATTATCATGGTTCTATTTTAGGAAATAGTAGATTTAGAAGCAGTTTAACAATGAAAACTGATGAAACAAAAGTAATTTCATCCATTGACCTTACCTATTGGTCCTTTGGCAATATTTTTTGAAGAAGAACAGTACCCCACCCAACCAAAGGGTTAGCGTTTTTCATAATCATATTTGCATTGTTTTCTGTTCATTAATTTTTTTTAAAGCAGTTCTTATACTTTTGAATGTTTATTCAAGTCATATTGTTCTGATACTTGTTTTTATTCAGGTGAGGATAGTCATGGATAAATTTGGCGTATTAGCTATCAGGAAATCATGGTATGATGCAAGCAAAATTACCGATGATGTTTTACAAGGCTATACAAAGGTTATTTTTATTTTACAAAAAGAAAAAAACTTTCTTATTTATCTTTATGAGAATCTGTTTTCTGATGAGATTATGAGATTTGCATATTTTGTTTCTCATATTAAGATTACCTACCCTTTTACAGCCATTGAGAGCGAAAGGTTGGGATAGCGCCCTTCTGGAGTTTACGATAGCTATGTTATTTGGTTCTACTTCAAAACCAAAGTCAAAGCCTCCCCTTTCAAAGAGACTTTCTGAGATCAAATGTCCTGGTAATTAATGAATTTTTTTCATGCATGCTTTATCTAAGTCATAACTGAAATATTGAAATTCTAAAACTTTAATCTTTGAAATACTGAATTAATATTCACTGCACAATGATTTTCTTGTAAAAACATAATAGTAGATTTTAGAATTGAGATATGCAGAGTTGTGTTAATTGTAGTAGAATTAGCTTTCGTTTGGGACAGCTTTTTTGCTGTTTTTTAAACAATTTTTAAGTAAAAAAATTTAAAATTTTGCACTAAAAAGTTGTTTTAAGAAGCATTAAGAAAGCCGTCCGAAACAAAGCCTTAATCTTATGAGTTGTAAAATGAAGTTTTGCTTCTCCAACAAAAATTCTTTCAACCGTTAAGAAGTTTTGATCCGGGTATCACTGAATGAGTAATTTAATATCAACCATTAAGCCATGTTCTTTATGGATTTTATTAGAACTATAATCGTCGGCAATATTATCAATATAATTATACAGATAGCATGCAAACATGCATATTTTTCTATGTAGTAATCTTTTCTTAATTATATAAAAACTTTGATTAACACAGTTTAAAACAATTTTTCTTAATACAAAAAAAAAAAGGAGTTTGGTAAAAGGTCATAACACATTAATCCTTTTTTTTTTCACACAATTATAGGCTTGCACCTTGCCAAACTAATGATGGTAAAACCAATTAATTATAGCTTTGGATAAAATGGTTTCCCATTCTCTGCAGTTAAGGAGTTTATTGCACTGGCTAACTAACCTCATCCCTTAATTGCGCTGTTTAGTTAAACTTTTTAGCGGTGGAAAATCTACTCCCTGATGTAATGAGTGCAGAAATTCCTATGCTTTAATAATGAAGAAGGTTTAAAACACGCCTTAATCATCTCATACAAACGCTAAGATTGTTTTTTCTCTGCATATTTTGTTTATTTTCTTTCTTAACAAATATGGCTAAGTCTTTGCTCTTAACTTATTATTTTTCTTACTACTTCTACGGACAGTATTGATTATCACTGGTGACACGGACCGCATTGTTCCTTCTTGGAATGCCCAGAGGCTGGCGCAAGCCATACCTGGCTCAACAGTCGAAGTTATCCGAAACTGTGGACACTTACCACATGAAGAAAAAGTAGAAGAATTTCTCTCAGCGGTTGAGAAGTTTTTGTACAGAACCTTTGGTGCCAAGGAGAGGCAATTTACAGAGGTGGCAACATGAGGCCTCCCAATGGCTAGGGCCTTGGAGCATTTACTTCACCCCATCTTCTACATTAATGAAGGCAGAATTTGTGAAGAAGCCTCCAAATGGTATTTATTAGTCCTCAATCCTACCAACGGCTATCAGTTTGACCGCTTTAATGTAGTCTTTCGAAGCATATATTCTTTTTCAATTGATGATTTCTCTGTTCTGTTGAGTTAGTCTTTAATGGGTTGAGAGAGACCTCAATATTTTATAGTCTGTTTTATTTAGTCCTCTTCAAATTAATTTTCCTGTCATCCTCATTCAATATTCTATCGCAAGGCGTACGTATCATAATTCCCAGAGAACTATAATTTTAAATCTACTCGCATGTGGTTCTGCCGACATATGCGCACTGCGCAGTACTAGAAACAAATGCTTGCAATTTGGATCTTTGGAATTGATGGGACATGGGATCGCAAATTTCCATTATCATTAGGACAAATTATTCAGTGCGGAGTGTGGACGTCGTCTAGAGACCAATAAAAATATACTACATCACTTTAAAAGTGTACCGCACTCAGTACCTAGTGCGATACCGAGCGGTACTGGACGGGAGAACCGTCTGATGTCCGCACAAAATAATCTCTCTATGTAAGCCACAGGTTTCAATGCAAAACTTGGATATGAAACAATCAGAAGTTGAAATGCGATTATGAGGCTAAATTTTGCAACTTATTTTGAGGATTAAATGGACTCATATTTTGTGAATTTGTAGTCAAAATTATTAAAGAAATATTAGCCTTATCAAGACTAAAACAATACAATACTTATAATAATTTGAGCAGATTTGAGTCATAAAGGAGCCTAGGCGATCTCCTCGCATTTAAGTTCAGAAAGATTTCACCATAACTTCCATCATCATCATCTCACCTTACCTCCATTGCCTCACCATAGGCAAGAGGATAGCAATATTCCTCATATGAATAGATTAATCTTTACAACTATAGCTGTTATAAAAAACTCAGGAATACTTTAAACAATCAATGAAATAAAGAAATTAAGTAAAATGAGTGACAAAAATAAAATGTACTTATCATAATAATTATAGTCATGACATCGATGATTCTCTCACACCCCCGCCCCCCAAGAAGCTGACTAAAAAGAGTCACTTTGAAAATTTTTGGTGAGTAATCATCAAGATAAGCAATCAAAGAGTGAACATTTCAAACATAACATAGAAAAAGTTATTGGCCATGTTGGTGACATCATAAAGGTGTTTGTTATTAGACTATGCTCAAAGAAGTTTACTAAAGATTATTATCACGAGTTAAATTTATCATATATTTATGCACCATTTTTTTAAGATAAGAATTTATTAATATACCAAAACATTTATGATGGTGATGATAATCTTAGACAACATCGACCAATACAAAACTCTCTAAACAGTAAACACTTACAAAGACTATCCGCTTAATCAACATTCTATTTGTAGAATTTGTTGAGAGAATTGTGTTGAATTTAAAGAACTTTCAATAAGTTGTTGAGTCATTAATTGGCTTCTAGGATGTGAGGTGCTTTCCAACAGGGCAATTACTTTTGAAATAATTTATCGAGGCCATATGTTCTACACAATAAGCTAAATTGTCTTCATTTCCATTAGATGACCCACCAAATGCAATAGTATTTTTGTCTCCTTTCATTGGCACTTTTTGAGTGGTCTTTTGATTAGACACTTAGGCTTCGTTTGAGGCAGCCTTCTCATTGCTTCTTAAAATAACTTTTTATTACAAAAATTAAAATTGTTGTACTAGAAAACTGCTTTAAGAAGCAGTAAGAAAGTTGTCTCAAACAAAATCTTAGTCATAAAGTTTTAACTATAATTGAAATTGACACCAATTAAAGCATGATGGGAAGAACTAATCCACCTCCAAGCCTATAAAGTGACAAAGGAGATTTTTACCATTCTATCTAGCATAACTAGAAGGGAGTTTCAACTTTGCTCGCTTTGTAAAGATACTTTATGAATAGAATTAATTAATCTACTTCATAATAACTTCGATAAATTTGCTTGGAAGCCATTTGAGATGCCTAGAGTTAGGGATCTAAATGAGATGCACATAAATGAGTGGAGTTCTATAAAAGTTCATTTCATTATTTTTTAGTATTAATGTTAAGATAGTATTCAATGTTATTTAATATTTCTCTATCGATTCTTTATTATTTGGTGTATTTGTGAAGTTAAATGAACATAAATAGGCCTATCAACCAAACAAAGAATTTTCATTATTTTGAATAAATAAGTAAGATATGAAAGTATCAAACTTAAGATCTCATCAAACAAGTGTAACACTTATTTAGCATCATATACAAGCACTACACAATTATTTATGTTTCATTTGGGATAGCTTTTTTATTATTTTTGCTTTTTAGACTGCAATTATATTTTTTAATTGGTTATTGCTTACAATAAATTTTTATGATAGAAAGCTGCTTTCCATAATAATTTTCAAAAAAGCTATTTTATCCACAAGAGCTTTGCAATCACCATTATAAAAAACTACAGTTGTCCCAATTAAATATATATATATATATATATATAGATATATATTAATGAGTTGTTAAATATGCTAAACACAAATAAATAAATTATATTGTATTTATCTTTTGTTTGTTAGGAAATTGAGCGTTAATATTGTGTTCATATTAGCTTATTAGTTAATTTATAAGCTAAATACAAGCTGCATAATGAGCCAACTATGAACTGTTCACAAAAATTGAGTTATTAGCTATGGATCGCACCTTAATTACCACTATCCACATTAGTCATGGGAGCAAAAATATTAAGTACGAGATTAACAATATCAAAAGAAAAATTAGAGAAAGTCAAGTAACCCTTTTGAATATCTAATCTCGTTATGGTGAGCAAGTCTAATGATAAAAGCCTAATAATGTTTATTGACTTAAATATGCCCTACCTAGCATTATTGGTTTGGTACACTCAATTGTTAGATTCATCAAGCTGAGGTTCTTGTATCTCTTCTCTAGTTACCACAAAATCAAGAAAAATATGAAAAGAAATTCTAAGGTTGATAATTTCAATGACTTTATTAGTACATATTCAAAATTGAGGAGATATACCCACCGATGCTTAGTTTGGTTGCTGGACGAGTATGTTTGGGAATCCCCCAACTTGTGCTCAATTCCCCTCGAGCGGTAGCGCTTCTTAAGTGAGGCCTAATCAAGTGCGGGTCAGGAGGTTTTTGGGGTGGGTGCCTCGTCTCGGTTAGCCAATGATTAATCACACCGCCAAGCACCTTTTCGGGGGTGGCAGTGGGTGGATATCACATTCCTAAAAAAAATAAAAAAATTGAGGAGATATAACGTAAAGTTTAATCCCAAATAAATGAGTGTTTAATAAACACTCCAAAAAAATTTTGGGTTGCACGATCTTGCTGAAGCTAATTAAAATAAAACATGACATGATTCAAACATTCTTAAAAGATAACTCTTCTAAATTCATTCATGATGTTAGGAAGCTAACCAAAAAGTCATTGGTCTTAATAGTTAATTTCTTAACAAATTCAGAAGAATGCTTCACTATTACTATTTATTTCAGTAAGAAGAATTAACTCATTTAACTATATTTAAGAATGTAAAAGACTAAAAAGAGCATTTCAATAGCTTAAGCAATACCTTAACCATCCCTAATCAAGACTTAGTAGTTTTAAACATAATGAATTTACATGGGAGTTAATGGTTCGATCAAAAGCTTAAATTTTTTTAAGAAAGAATATGGAAAATAATTCTCTTTTTATTATGACAATAAGATAGTAGTTGGAGTCAAGCTTAACTATATTTAATGATAGGTGCCAAGCTTAACTACTTAGTCATGGACACATTAACACACATTCTCTAATCATCATTGCCTGATAGACTTATCTTTACCTTTAAACCCATCTAATTAAGGTTAGTATCTGTGACTCCCGATAATCTGTTATGAAAGAATTATTCTTTTATTATTTAATTTACATAATCAAAATTACTTAATTTTTTTTATTAATATAAATAGCAACATAAATAAAACTATCCTTCAAAACATATATATTTTATTTTTTCAAAATCATATATACTAATCAAGATATATACGATTATAATATATCTATCCTGCTCTAAATACAAAAAATAGCTAAATAAGTGAAAGAAATAAACTAACAATAAACTTGGAGAAGTCCAATCTGATCAATCTCACATACTTGCTTGTTTGTCCTGATTTGAAATTATTTAACTACATATAATGTCCTAAAAAATTCAACAAATAATCAAATCCTACTACTGAATTCAAAGCACGGCTAAAAAATAATATATATATCAACAATCAAATCATAATAATAAAAATCATATCATAAAAAATTAGAATAAAAATAATAAAACTCACTTATAGTATCATCTGTAAACAGTATACGATACGAAAACAGCAAAGCAGTATAAGATTGGCATCGGTAAATCAGGAGTGTCGAATTTAATCCTTTATCTTTCTAGTTTCTATTGGGTAAATGGTCTCGTACTCTCCCGATTAGGGTTGGCAGGCAGAGATGAATCGGTTTCGGATCCTGCCATTGCCGACGGTGAATTTGTGTCGGTTAAGTCTTGAACTTCTCTTCGACGGAGATATTGGCTGTGGTTGCGAAAGCTTCCCAAGGGCTTTTTTTTATGAAGTGGGTCGACTCAAGCCTGGAACTGGAGTAGAAAGCGGATTCCGCAGGCACCGCTTGAGTGGATCTCTAGGCTTCACTCATGCAAGATCGGTAATTTGCTCTCCTCACCGAGAAACTTTCAGCGGATAATTTCTTCATTTTTGCATTTTTATCTTTATGCGATATCTAATTTTAAGACATTTAGCTATTGAGCTACGGAAATTTTCTATTAGTTAAATGGGGAAAAAACAGCTAACTTGTGGTGGAATTCTCTCATTTTGCTATATTTTCTTCGCAATGCAATAATGTCTGTGAAGTAAAGTGTGCATAGCGACTCTTGTCTATGATAGTAAATTAAGTTTCAGAAACGTAATATTTGGAGAGTTCTTATTTCCAAGACCCTTATTAACAGTTTTGAAATTTGTCTGCGTTTTTCTGTTATTAGGGTATTTTTGGACGGAATGTCTGTAAGCGCTGTGTTAAAGAGGTTGGAAAATTAAGATGACGTTATTATTTTCCTTTGTTCGAATAAAATTTTTTAATTGTTCTGATTTTAACTGGAGTTGCGAGGTTTTGCACTCGATGCTTCCTATGATTGGTGTGGGGATAGATCTTAGCGTATTGTTGCACAAATTTTGTTCATCAGTTATCTTCTGTCTAATCTTAGATCACCTGGCGGATTTCTGCAACCTAAAAGTATCCCAACACACCATGTTTATCTTCAGTGATTAATACTGAAGAATGAGGATATAACTTCTATATTTAAGATAGAGTTGTTTAAACGAAAAGGCGCCTGAGGATTATTGTACAATTATAAAATTATTATGGAGAGTTGAAGATAAATTTCAAAAAATCATAATTTGGTTGGTGATGTTGTGATCTAGGGATCATATCATTAAGGGGATGATTAATTTTCCCACCACCTTAAAGAAGTTCATAAGATGAAGCTATTCTTACAATTTGAGGATAAGATCATAAAATATATATAAACTGACTGACCACGCTTACTAAAAATCTAATATCAGGTCTAGTGTGAAAAAGATAAATTAGTTTACCAACAAATTTTTTGTATCTATCTTTATCAATTGAAGAACTATTATCTTTGGTTTGAAGTTTAGCATTCAAATTCATGGGTGTATATGTTAGCTTACAACTTGACATTCATATTATTTTTAAGAGGTTTAACACATTTATATTGTGAGGCCGAGATACTTATATGAGATTGAGTCACCTACATTCCGAAAAAAAAAATATATTAAAATTTTTAATTCATTAATATTAAATTCCTTAGCTAGAAATCTCTTGAGTGTGCTCATTTTTTCTATAAAGCCTCCCATGTGGATGGATCTATCAACATATATAATCAACATAACAGATTCACGTCTAGGTGGTGTTCTTTTTACAAGGATAGTAGGATTGGCGGCTTGACATTGTATATATTCATAAAATTTGACTGCCTTGGTGAATTAGCCTAACCAAACATGTGAAGATTGCTCTAGGCCATAGAAGGTTCTTTTAAGTCGGTTGACTATGGTTGTTGTGGCAAGTATCTGATGACTAAAAGAAATTTTAATGTTGAAATTTTCTTCAGGATCACTATTAAGAAAGTTATTATTGACATCTAATTGATAAAGTGGCTAATCCAAGTCACTCACATGAGATAAGATCGCTCATACTATATTTGATTTTGTTTCAGAAAAATAATCTCTTGCTAATCGATCTCATTGGATTGTGTAAACTCAGTTGCCACAAGTCTTACCTTGAACTTCTTTGTTCATCCATCAGCCTTGTGCTTGATAAAAAATATGTTTGCAGCCCAGTGTCCACTCTCCTTGTGGCAACTGAATAATCTCTAATGTTTTGTTCTTTTCAATTGCTTGAATGTCTTCCCATATAGAATTTTTCTACCTTGGATTTTTCATTACCTGAAGAGTTGACTTTGGGACATTTACTTGGTTGATATTACTAACACATGATGGAAGTTTGAAGAAAGTCCCTCATCAAATATAAAGTTATAAATAGGGTGAATGGTGCTAGATCACTCATCTTTTCTCAAAGCAATTAGTGTATCAAGACCATAATCAATCAATTGATTATTCATGTTATAGCGGAGGTATTGCTTTGAGAATTTGTTAAGTGTCTGAACTCATATTGGACTGCTAAACTTGCTCAATATGTTTTGGGGGCTCCACTCATTGTTTTCTTTCCCTTTTGGAATAAATAAGCCTTGAATGATTTTTAATAATAGGTATAGATGGGCTTTTGGTGATGAGGGATGTTCATCCATATTAGAAAGAATTGGACTCTGAGGTTCATTTCTAGCTGGAAAGTCATAGGTTGGGCCTCGTAGACATGGTAGTGATATTGTAGTAGTAATGTTTGAAAGTTGAAGAATTCAGATATTCTCCCCATCGATTATCAATTTTGGATAATACAATTATGGTTCAATGAAATTCATGGAGTTTGTCATGTAATAGAAGAATGACTCTTATAACCTTTATGATTAAGGGTATGCCTTGTGAATATACATTGATAGCCTTGAGATCAAAGCAATGACTTTCTTCACACCCGAACTTGGAGTAGGATTGAGGAGCGGAGTTGAAGAGTAGGAGGGTTGAGGAGATTTGGGGTTTGCTCATATTTTGTGACTGAACATGGATATATGCAGAATGCCTGAACATTTCATGGAAATAGTATAGATAATTTCAGCGTTTGAGTAAGAGCTTAGGAATAATTAGCATAGAGTTTGAAAGTTGATAATATGAGAGGACATTCTATATTTATGAGATATGTTAAACTTCCCCCTAAAAATATTCAGGAACATGATATTTATTTTTTCTTTCATCTATCCATTTTGTTATGGTGTGCCAACACATGAGCTTTGTTGAACTATTTCCTTGATAGATAAATCATCAAGGATTGAGGCAAAACATTTTCTTGTATAATCAATTTTCAACACTTGTGTTTTTGTTTAAAAAAAAATGTGTGAAAAGGTTGGAGTAGCTCCAGAGGAAGATAAAATTAGAGAGTCTCCTTAGATGATTTGGTCATACAAAACGGCGGCCTCTCGATGACCTGGTTAGGAAAGTAGATGTAATAGATTTGGCTTATGTTAAGAACGTAGAGGTAAACCTAAAAAGACTTGGTTTGAAAATATTAGAAATGACCTTTCTTTATTAGATTTAAATGAGAATTTAACTCTTAACATGACACAATGGAGAAAAAAGATTCATGTAGCCAACCCCATATAGTGGAATAAAGGCTTGATGTTGTTGTGTTGTTTGAAATTGAGGTTGAATCATATTATGAAAGTTTAAATATTTGACTTATCAGATTTTTCTTTCATAAGGAATATCCATTTGATTCTAGTTTGATCATTTATGAAGCAAATAACTCAATGATTCCGCACAAATTTTTAATTATTTATGATCCCTAGATAAGAATTTCTCACATGTTTTGAAAACTAACAAGTTAAGCTTGAGAATTCTTTTTCCTAAATAATTAAGGAAGTATATTTTTATGTACAAGTTTGAATGTCTTGACTGATAGTAAATTAGTAACACAATAAGATTTCACTATTCTTATTGGAATCTAAACATCAGGAGGATAATTTTCACCAAGCGATCCAACCTTAATAGCTTGTTTTCATGTAGAGCCAACTTTAGGAGATGGAAGTCTTAAACACATCTCACGCTGCCAATCTTCTTTTCTCATTCCAAGTCATGAAATTCACAAAGATTAGAAAGAAATTTGTCATTGCAGTTTAGATCAAAGATGAGTTTATTGACATTTGACAAATAATATGTTATAATCATTGTTTGACACAATTAAGATTTAATTTATTTAAGATGCAAACGAACCAAATTCCAGGAACTTCGGATAGTAAACCATCAGCAATTTTAACATTAATTCCCTTATTGCATGATTTATGATTTTCTATAATTGTGATATCAGCCGTCATGTGATATAAGGCACCAAAATCTACAGTTCACAACCCTTGGTTAACCTTGTCTACATTTGAGTCATTTATAATGTTTGGCCTTATGAATTTATACCAATCACGGTGGGGGTAGCTATATAGTTGGTTTTTATTGAATTAACTTTTTTTTTTTTGGAGTGTCCATCTGTTCTGTGTTGATTAAGTTCAGTCATAAAGGAGTAGAATTTTACCTTTTGGCAGCAATGTTTTATTTGGTCATATAAGAGTAAAAATTTCATCCTAAAACTCAATTAGAGAAAAAACGTCGATGAATACTAGAGATCAACAAATCAAATTAGGAAAGCCTAATCAATGGATTTACGGTTGTAGGAGGTTGATGATCAACGAAGGAAGATCAGTGGAGCAAAAGCAATGAATGGTTAGTAGTAGGTAGGATGACTTTTGGAGTTTGATGAATGCAAGAGATAAACGGATCACTCTTTGAAAGCTTGATCAAATGGAATTGCATTTGCAAGAGATTAGTTGCTCAAGAGATGACTTCACGTAGAAGCTAGAGCCTTGTGGCCCGTGATAAGACCAAAATTTGATGGCGATGAGTGGGTGACAAGCTGATGAAGTGAGTCATGAACAGAAGTCAAAAGAACTAGTCATGATTAAAAATAGTTAAAGGCAACTTGTGATGACGAAAGATGTAAGCGATGAAAACAATACAGGCAATTTCAAAGGCGACATAAGCGATGCAAGCAATGTATTCATGAAGTTGAGGGAAACATAGGCAAGGTGCGAAAGATTGATAAATGTGAATCATGAGATGACTTAAGTAGGGACGGTTTAATGTCATCACTTTGGGTGAAAGCGGATCGATGGGGGGAACCATAAATGTTACAGATGAGGAGGCTTAATGCAAAGAAGAATGTTCAATGCATTCCAGCTCTTGATTAGCCATCAGGTGAAGAGAATCTTGAGGCTCAACTTGAGCACCATCAGATGATGGAGATAAATCCTTCGAGTCAAAGAGTAGAGGGATGCGCGGATCATAATCTACGCTTTGATTCTATAAATAAATCGAATAGGGGAGTTATATTCATCTTTCTACCCTTTCGAACAATCAAGGGGAAAAATAAATAGAGGAGAGAAAGTTATTTCTTTTTTATTTCATTATATTCCTTATTAATTTCCCATTACATTATATTAGCCCTCAATTTTATTCCCTAAAACATGAAACAACATTATAGAAATAAAGGAAAAGAATAATCATGCTAATTAATTTGTGTTCCTAATATGATCGTTATAGTTGAATTTCAATATATATATATATATATATATTATAGGTAAATCAATATCTAATAATTGTTATGATTCCATCTGAACTAATTAATTGACTGCTAAGTAATATGTTTGGTGATTATGCATATTATGTTTTATATGTTAGATTGCTTTATTTTTCTTTTGCAAAACTTTAATTCTAGATAAAATCAAATAAGTCAGTTTAGGGAAAATGTCAAACGTCTCAACCCTAAACTAAACCAAACCAAACCAAATAAATCAATTTTATCAATTTGGTTAACATTTTTGGATTAGCCCTTTTTTCTGGGGCGGGCAGCGGCGCGTGGCAGTGGGCAGGGGGCGGGGGCAGCTGGCAGAGGGCAGGATTTCGAAATTTTTTGAATTAAACGGGTTGGCGGGTTGACCCGGCAACCCGCCGGGTCAACCCGAACCCGTTTTTTGAAACGGGTCGATTTCTGGAACCCGAACCCGACCCGTTTTGAAATCGGGTCGGGTCCAACCCGTCGGGTCCGGGTCGGGTTTTCGTGTCGTGTCAAAAATTGACACCCCTAACTTCAAGCATGTTTGTATGAACTTTTTTTGTTTTTCATTTGCATATCTATTGACAACATTGGCACCATTATTGTCATCATTGTAGAGAATCTTCTATTATTCATTTATTTTGTTCATTTCCTCGATTTGAATGAGAAAATTATGTTTGCTTTTCCACCGTCTTCATTATTAGTGTGATAAGTAGGTACGATTTTGATGGTACAAAATTTTTTATTTCTTGATTGCTTTCATTCCACTTACATGAATTTTGTTGACAAATGAGGCTGAAAACATGAGAAGGTGTGAAATAGCAAGTTCCTTATAGTATAAATGGTTTTGCTATCTATTGCCCTCCAGTTAGAAACTTTAAATGTTTATTGAAGTTTTCAAAGAGTCAAAGTTGAACAAAAATTTTAATTACAGTTTTGAATTTTTTTTAATGTTAAAAGTACCCAGCTAGCTCTTGCTTTTCTTCTCTATATTGTTCATTTGAATGATTCAAGTGAAACATTCTTTGATGTGCGTCCTCAAGGCACCTGTAAATAAAAACCAATCTTAAAATGGGATGATAGAGTCTAAAATAAAGGAATAGAAATTACTATATTTCAAGCTTATTTTTTTAAATCAAGGTTTGGATTTGAAGATTTCCCAGCTAGCTTTCTCTTTGACATTGCAGATGCTTAAATAAGTTCTATTAAATAACTATAAGATGGGATGTAAGGCTTTTATCCCTAATTTTATGATTAGGAGTTTTATTTTGCATATAGTTTTCCTTTGTCTACTTTTTATTTCTGATTTCTGCTCTGGTACCCACAGAAATCGATCATTGGCAACCCCTTCCCAGCTAAATTTATGTTATCAAGCTCAGCCAACCAGTCTGACCTAGCAACAGTAGTTGTCCATCGCCGGAAAATTACAACAGGCACTTCAATCACTGATGATTTGACAAAGGCCTTGGAACATTTCTTTTCAAGTGAGAAACATGAAGTATGTTGCGCAAAGGAAATGTGTAGTTTATTCATTCAGAAACTCTCCAAAGTTGGAAATTTATCAGATGCGTCGTCTTTTTTACAGTACCTTCATGATCGACAAATACATCCTGATCTGAATACATACAACTTGCTTCTAGCTGCGGCAGGAGAAACTGGTAACTTTGATCTCTTCTGTGATATCTTCCAGAAATTACTACTTTCGAAACTGCCTCCTGATTTAATTTCATATCTTAACATTTCAAAGGTTCTTCCAAGTTTGTCTGACTCAAAACTGCTAAAATTCATTAGTGAAGTTTCAGAAACAACAGCCCATAGTGATCCTACTGTAGTAAACAGGATTATCTTTGTCACCGCCAAGTCTGGTCAAATTGATAGAAGTTTGATGATGTTTGAAGAACTGAAGAATCATGAATGTAAAATTGACACTGTAACATTTAATACAGTCCTGGCTATATTAGGTAGAGCTGGTCGAGTTGACAAAATGCTCTCTGAATTCTCATTAATGAAAGAGCTTGGTTATTCTCCGGACATTGTCACTTATGACACATTGATCAATTGCCTTCGAAGGCTTGGAAGATTGGACTTGTGTAAAGCTTTTGCAGAAGAAATGCTTCGTAGAGGATTTGAGTTGGATTTGCAAGCTTATACAGCACTTATTGATGGACTTGGAAGGGCAGGTCATGTTAATGACGCAGTGATATTGTTTGGTGAAATGAAGAAGTGTCACCGTCCTTCAATATATGTGTATCGTTCAATGATCAGTAATTTGAAAAAGTTTGGAAAAATAGAAGAGGCAATGGATTTGTTGAAAGAGATGAATTCAAGTACTTCAAAGCTTGTTGGCCCTGAAGATTTTAGAAAGAGAAGGGGCAGGGTACACGAATGAAGAGGAATACCCCTGAAAGCTTTTGATTACTTAGGCTTCATTTAAGATGACTTTTTTTACTGTTTTATAAAACAATTTTTTAGTCTAAAAAATTGTTAAATTAAAAAATTTTGTACTAAAAAGTTACCTCAGAAATCAATAAGAAAGCCGTCCCACACAAAGTCTTAATGTAGAACTTTTGATTGTGGCAATGATTGTATCTGATATATTGACCAGACATTTATAAATTTTTTAGTAGGTATGTAAATAAATTTATATTGAAGAGTAAGGGAAATCATATAGATCAAAGCAATTATACTTGATTTGATTTTTCTTGCATGCTATGGATTAATATGTAGGCATTTGATTTTGGAAATTGTTGTTTCTTCTCTAGATAATCTAACTTTGCATTAGGTTTATGAAGAGAGATTTTAAAAAGTTTTCCAATTCAAACTTATCAACACCTTCATATGAGAAAAAATTGATGAAAAGCAAAATAAAAAAAGAAGCCAAACAGAGAATGAATCATAGAAAAAAATGCTGGTAATCGATCTAGAAAAATTTCTATTAGATTTAGGTTTATAAATTCCTATTAGTGAATTTAGTTCTAATATTCAAGATCAAATATGACAATCATACTTATAAATAAGACCATATCAGCCTTATAGGTATGGCTTTCTTAAAACTAAATTTGGGAATAAAGATAAACGTTTCAATCATAGATGATTTGATAAGTATTCTAAATGATTAGAGTATAGTATATATGAAGATGACTAGGCATTTAATTAAAATGAATTTTAAAATTGAAAAAAAATTTTTTTTTTTGAAAAACGTTGGAGGTCATGACAATATTCATAATAAGACAAAACTTAAATGAAATAGATCGATTCAATATATTTATTTTGTCTTCCAGAATTAATATGATCATACAAAATGTTTGCCAATTGTGTGAGGTTTCTTTTATGACAGATTAGTTTTTTAAGAACATGAGTGTGGAAAAATAAAAAATCAAGAAAATTCTTTTCAATAATAGGTGTATTTTTTGGCTGAACATAATAACGACAAAAATAATGTGTGGCTAAAAAATATTCTTGAGAATTTTAAATTAATTATGCCTAACATTCAGTAAGATATCACATGTACTATGTTGATTACAATAACAACCTTCATAACTAAGGAAATTGGCTATAACTATTTTTCTATTTCAGTTGATGAATCTTAATAAATAATTATAATGTTGTGATATCTTTGTCGTAGATGTCAAGACATAACAAATTTATATTTTTTTGAGTTGAAATATTCTACACAGTTATTGATATGCAATTTCAAGAGTTGGATAATCGTTTTAGAGAAGAAATACTTAGTTACTACTGTTTATTGCCTATTTGAACAAAGATGTCTCAAACGAAGCCTTAATCTGCATAAGCCTCTTAGATGCCAATGAATTTATGAAATCTGGATGGAATGTGGATTAATTAATCTGTGTTTTTAGGGGGAGGGTTAATTAATCTTAATCCTATTGTTGATTTTTTTTTTTTGAAACTTTAGGTGCTTCGAATGTGGGCTCACGGTAGGAAATTTTTTATTCTACCAACAGGCCACACGAGCGAGCCCCTATTGTTGATTTTGTTCAGCTGCTTTTGCATTCATTGATTTTTTGTTGGATGATTCTCTCGTGTAATATTTTTGACTTTTATGTGGGCTCTCTCTGATTTCGTTATCTTTGTTGCTACGTGGATCGTTGGCTTTTATTTGTCTTTTTTATTTTTAATTTTTTGGCTTTGATTTGTCTTGATGCCTTTTGTTTTTCTATGTTATGTGCTGTTGGCCACAGTATTGTTCAGTTTGAATATCTCTACCTGTTCTGGTTTTTTACTTCTCTTTCGATTTTAATGCAGACTATGATGTCTTAATAAATAATTTGTTTTGTACTCATTTTAAAATAGATCTAAAGACTTTAAAATTCATTTTGATCTAATTTTTTTTATTTGCTAATTGCTATGAAGTTTAAAGTAGAGCAGGTAGGCTTCGGGTAGGTGGGGAGCGATGGGATATCATTATTGGTTTTACATATACATTTGAAGAGATACTTTGCTGCCAAGTAGGGATCTTGCAGCATGTTTTCTTTATTCTCTTTGAGACTAATGTTGAGATTAGGGGTGTGAGGGAGTCAAGCGAATTTCTGAGCCAGCTCGTTTGATGAATGGCTCGTGAGTCGAGGTCGATATTTTTGTATTAAAAAGTTATTTTAGAAAGCAGTAAGAATATTGTCCTAAATGAAGCCAGCTTTTTTATTGTTTTCTAAAGCAATTTTTTAGTACAAATGTTTCAAATTTTAAAAATTTTTATGCTAGATAATTGTTTTATTAAGCAGTATAAGAGTTGTCTCAAATAAAATCATAATCATCAGATCCACCTTTCAATAAAATGTGTGAGAGAGAGAATAAGTGGAAAATTATTTTTGAAATTTGGATGAATTTTTTAAGTATTTACCCTACTCGACCCGTTTTATCAAACGGGTCGAATCTGCAAACCCGAACCCGACCCGTAACCCAGATTTTCTGGGTCGGGTTTTAGGGTTGGGTCAAAAGTTGACACCCCTAATAGTGTACATTCATGACACCTTAATATATATCAACATTTGATAGAAATTCACCTAAATTTAGGTACCCTAAATATCCAACAAAGTTTACATAAATTTAAATAAAAGCTTTTTTTTTACAACATGAGGTCCTTTTTCTTGAGTTGATTATTCTGGCTGATGGAATCTCTCAAAATTTAGATCATTTTGGGTTGGTCCAGATTAGGCTCATAGTTTTCACAGTTTAGCTAATCTTTAATGTAGAATTATTAAAATGTTTAACACAATCATGGATCCGCTAAAATATGTTATAAAGAAAGATCTATTATATTCATCTCTCTATAGTTTGTTGGATAAAAGTTTGACCCGCAACTAAAAGGTCTTGGATTTAAATCTATATGAGATAATAACATGGAGACAACTTAGATTTCGTTTGAGACGGCTTTCTTATTGCTTCTTAAAGCGGTTTTTTAGTACAAAATTTTTAATTTTTTTATTAGGAAGGCTTCGTTTGAGACGGTTTTTTTATTGCTTCTTAAAGCAACTTTCTAGTACAAAAATTTTAATTATTGAACTAGAAAGCTGCTTTAAGAAGCAGCAAGAAAGCCATCACAAACGAAGCCTTAGTCTTAATCTGATATAGTGGTCATGATAAAATAATAAAACTTATAGAGAATCATTTTTATTTTGCCCTTCATAAGGTAAGATGTCGCCTGCATTATTAGTCAATGTTGGACTTGCCAATTTGGCAAGGTGATCAATCAGACCATTGGACCATGCGTACTTCTGCTCATCCCAAATTCTTCTTAGATATATATCAATAGGGACTTAATTCCTACTCCATCAAGGGCCGCTTGCAAATAAATTTTTATTTTTATTTTTATTTTAATTTTTTTGCAAATACGACTATCTATATTATAGTTGACTACTTCTCTAAGATGACCAACTTTTTTACTTTGCAAGAAGGCAACTAATTCTTCACACATAAATTTTTAGGTTTAATTTGGGACGATTTTCTTATTTTTTAAAGTAAATCTTTTTAATAAAAATTAAAATTTTTGAACTAGAGAGCTATTTAAAAAAAATAAAAAATTTTATATTAAAGAGCTGTTTTTAATAAAAAATTAAAATTTTTGTACTAGAGAGTTATTTTAAGAAGTAAGAAAGTCGAATCATAGGACAACTTTCATATTGCTTCCTAAAACGACTTTCTAATATAAATTTTTTTAATTCAAAAAAAATATATATATACTAAAAAGTTATTTTAGAAAGTAACAAAAATGCTGTCCCAAAAGAGGCCTTAATCTGTTACAATTTTGTTCAACTTCACAGGCTTCTCACTTCTATTAATTTATTTATGCAAATTACACAATACATAGAACTCACCAATTTGTTGCTAAGCATTTCAGCATAAGAACGTAGATCAAATGCATGAACGGAATTATAAATAAAAATTTGCATAAATAAAAGTCTTAACATACCATGAAATACTCACTAAAGGTGAATGAAGAAGGATTTATGAGTTAAAATCTAAATGGTTTAGATAAATAAAGTTTTGTTAGGGACGATTTTTTTACTGCTACTTAAAGCAATTTTTTAATACAAAAATTTTAATTTTGTATTAGAAAACTGCTTTAAGAAGCAGCATGAAAATCATCTCAAACGAAGCCTAAGTACGATGAATTATATCAATAACCTTGGGTTAACTCATGCAACACGACAGGAGAAACGACGATAATTCGATATATTTAAGGATATTCATAGAACTGATCCCAAATAATTTGAATAGACACTAATGATGATGATGTTGACATATTTTAAAGAGTCAAGTGTCCTAGACAAGTCAATAAAAAAGTCACAAACACAATATACCTGTGATAGAACATCTCTAATCCATCTAAAATTCAGTCAACTTACAACAACATTCTTCTTCTCTCAATCCTTAACAGAAGGTCAGATAATGAATTACAAGCATTTTCCCTATAAATAGCACCTTCTTTGTAAGTTTCCTAATATATAGGAAATGAAGGATCGACATCTTGAGCCCATGACTCGAGTCCCCCAATAATATCTTTTGCTAGAGGAAAACCATTCTTGTTTAGGAAATCAACTGCTCTCTGTGAATCATTTCCTCTTCTACAAACTACATAAAGTGAAGCAGCTTTACCTGAATCCTTTGCTACTTCTTTCAAATGTGAATCAACAAGTGATATCTGATCCTCCAATGCAGATAATGGAATGTTAATGGATTCAGGAATAGCTGTGATTTTGAAGTGATGTGCAGGGCGTACATCTACTAAAATATGTGGTTCCTGTTTATCAATCAGATCTTTGTACTCTCTACTTGTGATTCGAGCACTGTCAGAAATTAAACTTAGCTTCGGGCGAGCCTACAGTAGCAACAAAAATAATGCAGAAACAGATGGTTATACTGAAGCTCAGCTCAATGTTGATAATGCTTCTTTATCATGAATCTAATTGAGATAAGGTGAAGCAATAAAGAAAGTATGAAACGTGTTAATTACATTATTAGGCTAAGAATTGTGATAAATATTATACAGCAAAACAGAATATGCTAATCCTATGCAAAGCAATTCAGAGTAGGGGTGTCAATATTTGGCATGACCCGAAAACCCGAATTGAACCCAACCAAAAATTTCGGGTTAGGGTCAACCCGAACCGAAACGGGTCGGTTTCGGGTTCAACAATTCGACCCATTTAAAAAATCGAGTCAGGTTCAGATTGACCCGTTTTTTACCAAAAAACTCGATTTTGACCCGAAAAGTGGAGATTTACCCGTTTTTGGATCTGAAAACTAGCAGTTTTTTGTTGGCACCGGGTCATTCGGGTCATGTCGGGTTGACCCGGACCCGAAGCGGGTCGGGGTCCGGAAAACCGACCCGTTTGCAATATGGGTCGGTTCAGGTTGACCCGAATAGTGCCGGGTCAATTTCGGGTTCAACCCGACCCATGACCCGAAATTGACACCCCTAATTCAGAGTTCTTAAATTCAACATATTCGAACAAAAATGACATTCCCAGGGTTCAATTCAAGCCCCTATGTAGTTTGAGGGTCATTCATTTTGCTCAAAAGATCATTTCAAAAATTTGTTCTACTTCTAGAATGCCCGTTTAGGCCAGTATAAAGCCCTTGAAATTTTACAAATAATTGTGTAAATCTTTAATTTATTAATTTACATAAATATAATGTTATTCATAAATCATAACTAAGATTCTAAGTTCGCTGTGAATCAATAAAAAGAGATTTATTTAGGGAAATTAAAAAAAAAAAAAAAAAGGGAAACTAGGCAGATAACATTTCAAATTTAACCTGCAAGTGAGAGATCAAACAGTAGATTTCATGGCTATGGTGGAAGTTTGAAGTATTAAGGTTTAGCAAATTTGCAAGTGTATAGTTTAAAAAAGGATATATGATGTCTTGATCATAGCGATGGACAATGCTGACAGAGAGGAAAATAAATATTTTGCTTATAGACTTTTTGAAGGAAGTTGTATTTCCTAACATGGTCACTTTTTCATGGAAAATAAATTTGATTTCAAAGCCTTGGAGCTGTCCAATTGGAGATAAAACAACATTCAAAGATCTGAGACCTATAGAGGCTATAACATGAAGTTTTTCTTAGTAAAATTGCTCTTAGTCATTTTTTTTTTAAAGGACAAGGTTCACACTGTGAGCTACGAATAGAACCTGAGTAGGGACCCCATGGTTTCCGTTGCTCAACACACGATTATTAATCGGACCAAGGCTGCCGCTTTCAAAGAGAAATGCAGTCAAACTTGACTATTACGCTGATCGCTACTTCAAAGCCCTCCCCATCATGCCAAGGAGCATGAAATGGGGGAGATTAATGCAGATTAGTCTGGGAAGACGTAGAATGATTTAAGAATGAAAGGAGAGAATGGCTTCTAACTACTGCAAAAACTCCCTTGGCATCTGTCATCCTTTATTGAAATATTGGGAGGAAGAAACTTGGCAGAAGAGAGAGAGAGAGATTCGGTGGCAATATCTATCTCCCTTGAGGAAATGCAGAAATTACACAGCATTGATGAAATATGCGATCACATTCCATTCCAATTGTGATCAGCATGCATAATACATTTTTATAAGTCTATGCATACCACTGCAAAAGCTCAATGAAACAATTTCTATGTGGCTCAGCCAATTGGTCCTACTTTAAGCAATGCCACATATTTATAAAATGAAAATTGTACCAAAACATATGGCAATTAGTCTGTGTATGTTGACATATAAGAAAAAATACATGGGATTATTTGTAAAATTGATAGACTGCCTTAGAGTGCCTCTCATGAGATGTACAGTCTAAATGTGAATCAAATTGTTCAAAAGGATATTTCTCATGGTAGTGGTAAACATCGAAACCGGAAATCAAAAACTAAAAATAATTGGGTGTTTCTCTGGTTTTTGGTCTCTCGGCCTTTACTCATGTGCGTGTGGCTGATAATTCGGTTGGTAGCCTTTGTTCTGGGTGGTCGTATGGTTTGCTTGTCTTAGTTGGATGGTGGAGCTCGTTCTTTGGCTTCTTCGGGGGTTTTCCCCCTTTGTGTGGTTCTGATGGTAATATGGTTGTGGGCTTTTCTGCTTTAGTTTATTTTTGTTCTTTGTTTTTTGCATGTGGTTTTCCTGCTTGCTGTGGATCTTCTTGAATTTGTTGGAAGCAAGTTGCTGCTCCTTTGGTTGGCTTTGGTTTTTTGTTTATTTTATTGTTTAATTATAATTAGTAGATCCAATAGCTCTTAGGTTTTACTTTAAAGGCTGTATTTTTAGTTGAGCTTATGGATTTTTTAGGACTTGTAATTCCCCTTTTAATCAACGCGTAGGCCCCTCCGTGGGTTTTAAACAAAAAAAAAAGGAGAAGTAAGCATAAATAAAAAATAAAAAAAATATGGGAGAAGTAAACCTAAACTAGCTAATTAACTCAGTCCCTAAACTAGACCAACCTAGTTGAGTTGAGTTATTTCGTCAAACTAACTCATTTATGGGGACTTGTTTAAGCCAGCCCATTTAAAACCAATTTTTTGCTGATAACCACCTTCATCATTAATTATTATCTTTCAATTAAATGGGAAATCTAGCCTACATGAAAGATGAATTCATGCTATTCCCTAAAACAATGACCATAAAATAACTATTGGTAAGGAAAGAAGTAAAAAAAGGTAGAGCAGAGGGGGTAGCCTGCTTGAAAAAATATATAAGCGGTGAAATTTGGCTCAGTTGTTAAGAAAAGAAATTATAAAAGAGAGAAGAAATATAAATAAATAAAAATAAAAATAAGGGGAACTAATCTTGACTGAGAAAAAGATAATAAGAGGAAAGAGGCCAAGACCAATCAAAAAGGAAAAATAAAAGTGAATTAAGAGGGCAAGTCATATGAACAGAAGGTGATCCTTGGGATCCGCATCCCTCCATTATCAATTCATTGATTTTATCCTCATTATTTCCACGATGACAATTCTATCTCTATACAAAGCTAGAGAAGAATCTTATCATGGTAACGCGGATAGATTATCGCAGGGCTATCCAACCTTGATCACGAACATTCTCATGAACCATGTCTCTATTGATGCCATAACAGGAATGGGTTTGAGTTTAGTACCCAATGGGTATGACTTGTGTCACAGAAGTGACCAGATTAATGACTTGGTTAAAAAGCAATTGAGAAATAGTGCTACTATAGATTGAGGGGGTAGCAAATCTACAGCAGAAGGGGTAGCCTGCTTGCATTGCACATTATCAATCCATTGATCCTAAGGGAGGAAAGACACCAAGGCCAATCAAACCTCACTGTACGGATTTGCAATAATATTAATACTCGATGAAATAGAATTGAGAAAAAATATTAAGATTTTAAAGACTTTAAATTAATCGCTCTTCACAATAGTGGTCACGCAAAATTGTAAAAAACAGTTTAAAAATTTATGAAAAACAACAATATGCAGCATTTAGCTGTCAACAACATCATCGTCTCCTACACATTACACAACTGCCAAGAAGTTCAAAGCTCCTACCTTGTGAAAGAATATCCATTGCAACGTCTAGACCTTATGCAATACCATTTTTAAATTACCACTATGTTTATGCTTGCATGGATCTATAAAAACCAGTTGAAAGGTTTGATCAAAGATAAAGGCACCACCATAGTATTCAAAAATGTTTTTCTGACTTATAACAAGCTCATAGATGGCCATCTAGATTTGATTGCTCAAAGTTTAAACCTAAAATTAGCAGGCAAATGGAATGTTAGCACAAATCAAGTTATTGAATTCCACATGTCCCTAAGATCTGGGGATCAAACATCTAGTAGGTGATAAATCAAATCGCCTATGATCACAATTTGGACATTAAAACATAAAAAGATCACATTTGTGGAAGTTTTAATTATTTGATTTCACGAAAAATTGATAAAGATGGTGATTCTCATATCACAACAGTACAACATTGAGAATGAGTAAGATCATACTTGTTAACGGTGAATGACGTGCTATAGCACAAAGGTCCCTTTGGAGCCATAGCGAAAAGCGCACGGCGCGACTCGCGCCATTTTAAACATAGTACAAACTATATAAGAATTATAAAATAATAAGCATGAATATGAAATATCATTAAATTGAAAGACAAGCTATTATAATAATAAAATATAATCATAATCATATATAAGTTCAAATAAACAACACCCAAATATCTCATAATTCAAAATATTACAATCATTTTTTTGCGGGCTCCGAAAATTCGAGGCCCGACCTCCTTTGCTTTAAGGGGAATTTTAACGAATTAGGTTCCGGGATAAATTTCAAAAGGCAAATTGGATTTGTAGATAAGACACTACCAAGAGATTGCACCCTCATTTTGCGAGGACTTTATGATTTGAGTTCTGGTTTCCTATAGACGCAAACCCCTATAGTTAATTACCCCTCTCAATAGCAAGAGAGAACTTTCGATTAAGGCTAGTCGTCAATCAAATACGTAGAAATACGTGTTATTTGGCATATAGTAGCAACATGAGTTTGGTATTTGAAAATTTAATATTTAAAATTTGAAAATTTAACCATCTTGCACTTAAAGTGGATGGTGGGGGAGTGATGATGGACCCGATCAAGATCCCATGGTTTCATGGTCCCAGGTCTACTTAGTCAGAGGAGGTGGTCGACCCAACTTGACAGAAGGATCCTTGTCGGCAGCCATAGGTTGCATCGTCCAAGGGTACCTTGTAGACTTGGGGGGAGTATTTGTCTGAGGGGACAAATTTGAATCCACCTTAGCTAACAGAGGGCTTTGTGTCCTATTGATTATATCTTATAGAGTCATATCTTAAGGATTTAGTACCATTGGGGAGCATAAGGGCTTTGGACATGACCGTATTTTAGTGGTGTCATTTGACAGCAAACCACCCGATTCAAAGGACCTCGGTCAAAACCGTTTACTTGCGATGCCATTTGGAGGCAAAACCGTCGGTTAGATGACACGTGTCACGTCTTTGCTGGCAAAAGAATGTATGAGAATGAATTCTAGTGATATTCTTAACCAGACTTTGCTTTTTGTGAGTTGAAATTATATTTAAATTTATGTACATCGGCAAACAGTTGCGGAGAATGGATGAGTTTTGCTTAAGTGTTTGATGGTTGATTTCAATTTTAAATATCTTGTATTTTAGTTTTTCTTGGACTTTTGAATTTTATGGGTATTTGAAAAATCTTTGCTTGCATATTTGGAATTAACCCCTTTGATTGAGGTCTAAGTTCAACGCGACCATCATCGAGATATTTATATGGATTTCCAATTCATTGATTGAACCTTGTTAATGGAAGCTTTGCACCCATAAATATGGGATAAATCCTCCAAATCTTGATTATGTCAATCATGTGGACTTTTCACATATCCGATCACGCACCTTAACACATGCAATAACCCTGCAACAATATTGCCAATTTATGGGCATATGCATGCTTTTCGGAGAAGTCAAATTTGTGAATATGAATATGATGTATTAATGTAGAGGATACAACGCCAAACTTTGATAGCTAGACTTTTCACTAGTTGAATAATGAAATTTATTGCATGATAATTAATGTAGTGGATAAAACGCCAAACTTTGATAGCTAGACTTTTCACTAGTTGAATAATGAAATTTAGTGCATGATAATTTGTCCACTTCTCGAAGCCGAGCCAATTTTACTGTTGAGGATACAACAACAACAAATTTGAAATGCTAATGCATACAAAAAATTAAGAAAATTGAGAAACTATGTGATTATAGCCAAGTCTACAGGAATTATAGGGCGAAAATAATATAATAATTTGAAACTTGTCAAAAAATTTTTCAAAAGTTTAGAAACTAAAGTTTACTAGGCCCATGTGAAAAGCCTTAATGCCATATTGTCCATCACCCCCCACCCCCAACACCCAAAAAAAAAAAACATTACATTATTATGAGTTTTTCTTTAAATTTAAGCATTTTATTTTGGCGTTTAATATTATCTTTCACGCTGACACGCACAATGCACAAGCGCATGCACATACACGTGATTGCCTGCCCACCTGCTCCCAACCTGCCCACGCGTGCGCATATACATAGTCATCACAAACAAACAATTGAAGCTCACTCAATAAATTAGGAATAACTTAGAAAAAAACAAGAAAAAAAGTGACCACTAAGTATTCCCAAAGCTTAGCAGTCCATTAATAAGCACCTATGTGAGAAATATCAAAACAACGTTGTCTAAAAATAGAAGAACGGGATATCTAGAAATGTTATGTGAAAATAGTGATTGTTGCTCAAGCATAACAAAATGAGAGTAGTCTAAAAGAGCAAAGAGTTGAGTTCAATTTCCGACTACATTGGGAGGGGAAAAAAACACTGCCGATATTGAATGTTTAGAAGATAAAGACCACTAGCCCACACAAGTAGATCGCAAGTTTGAAATTTAATTACCTTATCAGACATAGGAGATTGCGTGAAGCCCTCATAATCAAAACTTTGAAAACTCTGCTGAGTAAAGTCGGCATTGTCACCACAGGCAAAACATTGCAATGATCTTCCCCTAAGCTTGACCTAGAAAATATTGCCCTTCGTGAGAAATATAATAAAATAAAAAGTTGTTAGATGTTGCAATTTCATGGTTACAATAGGAATGATCAGTAAATTCTAAACAAACAAACAAAAAAAAAATGAACAGCACATGCGCCAATTTACTATATAACAGTAACGACCAGTTCCAATGCTCGCAATATGTATTACATTGGAGAAACAGGCAAATTACTAAAATGACATGCGAGAAAGGATATCTTCTTAAACAAATGAAGATGGGTTCAAGATTTTATTTTTTCTCGGATTCTTAGATAGCTTATCATGTTCGCACTAACAAAGTAGACTAAAACTAAAATATAGAAATTAAACAAATGGATAAAAAGGTGAGTGCAACAACCAACAATTGAAAGCTTCTTCTCATACAACTTATGGTCAAAATGAAGTTTGATAGGAAGTGGATACAATTTCTTCGAAATCAGTGAACAACAATAAGAAATTAAGAAGAAAACACACCTAAACTATTTTTATTACAAGATATGTAAAAGAAAATATCAAGATACAGTTGGATCTTCAATTGGAGAGGAAGATCCGGCTCTCCAAAATCCTTAGCCGCCAAGCTAAAGCCCAAATAACCTAAGAATAAACTAAATTCAGCAAACTCCAAAATATCCTACCGAAATCACCCTATTGTTACCTTAAATAAGCTCTCATAATTCCCTATCAAATCAGCCCCCTTTCTTTAAATAATTCCCTCTCAAATTTGAATTCAAATTATATTTATTTCCCTAATTAATTCCCTCCCAATTGTAATTAAAACTTTCCTAAACAATCCCCCCTTAATTTCTCCTCCTTTTCCCTAAATAATTCCGACTTATATTTTGAATTCAAATTAGATCTCTTGCTTGAATCATTCCCTCTCAATTGTAATTTAAATATTCCTAAATAATTCCCCTTTGATTAAGAACCTTCCTAAACAACTCCCTCTTGATTAGGAAATTTCATGGTTCCCTCCCAAAGTGTCACCTTGTCCCCAAGGTGGAACGAAGGAAACTGCTGCCAAAGAACTTGACTAATAGCACTGGACTGAAAAATGAGCTGACACTGTATCGAATGATCCATTCCTCCAGCATCTCCCTAATCAATCTCTCGATCTCATCCTTCTGGATTTGGGGATGATGGTATAGACGAACGCTAATTGGTGAGACTCCTCATTCATAATAATTTCATGCTCGCATTCCTACAGAGGAGGCAACCCCTGAACTAGTTGGAACACCTCTAGATACTGTTGTAGGAGTGGCTGAACCATGTTTAGTACTTCTATCTTCTCCACATCATCTTCTCCTTCCAAACTTTTCAGCTCCACAAAAATCTCAATTCTTCACTATTTCCCCTCCTTGGAAGTGGCTCCAAAGATGGCATCTCCTCTTCTTCCCCCAAAACTAATACCTCCTGATCCTCCCTCATCGTCCCTATATTACGGTTTCTCCCACTTCCCAATCCAATCAACGGTGCTCTCACCTCCGATGGTGTCGGTTGGGTGTGAAGCTCCAATAGTTTCCTTATCATTCCTTCTAGGTTGGAAAACATTTCCTAACATTGATGTCATTCTATCCTCAAATGTTGATTTGAGTTGGCCAACTTTTCTTTTAAGATGCTCTTCCAAAGCATCAACTTTCTTTGTCATCATAGGTCCCAAAAAAGTGCTCTAATACCAATTTGATAGGAAGTGGATACAATTTCTTCAAAATCAATGAACAACAATAAGAAACTAGGAAGAAGAACACACCTAAACTATTTTTATTACAAGATATATGAAAGAAAATATCAAGATACAATTGGAACTTAAATTGGAGAGGAAGAACCAGCTCTCTCAAATCTCTAGCCGCCAGCTAGAGCCCAAATAACCTAAGAATAAATTAAATTCAGCAAACTCCAAAACATCCTCCTGGAATCACCCTATTGTTAGCCTTAAATAGGCTCCCATAATTCCCTCCCAAATCAACCCCCTTTCCCTAATAATTTTCTCTCAGATTTGAATTCAAATTAGATTTATTTCCCTAATTAATTCCCTCCCAATTGTAATTAAAACTCTCCTAAACAATCCCTCCTTTTCCCTAAATAATTCCATCTTAGATTTTGAATTCAATTAGATCTCTTGCTTAAATAATTTCCTCTCAACTGTAATTTAAATATTCCTAAATAACTCCCCTTTAATGTAGAACATTCCTAATCAAATGATTAGGAAACTTCTTAATACCCTCCCAATCAAATCGGCCAGTCCATCAAAATCATGAATCAACAATACATAAATTGGATAGGAGAATATTCATATGATTTCTCTTAACTATTGAATCAAATAACTGGATAGATAAAACAGAATGCAACCAGAAGGGATATCTTCTTAACGACTACAGCACATGATCCAGATTTTGGATTTAATGACAATGAGAAGAAATGCTGGCAAGACCAAGCTTGATACATGATAGTCAAATTTCATTGTAGGTTCTAGAGTCATAGGCAAGAGCTCTTAAATTTTGTAACTATATAAATCACCTATGCTTGTTCCTACATCTCTAAGTGGAAGTTAGATAAAGCAGGAGCCTAGCCATGCACAGCTGGTGAAGCAAAAAAACACTTGCAATTGATAAACCGCTAAGTAGTCGGAAAGGCATTGCAGTTTCTGAATTAATAGTTTAGGTGAAAAATATTGAGATGAACCACAACTTTATGAAGCAATGCACATCTAAATGAAAAATCAAACTTCCTTAGGGAATGCAAATTGGAGTAAAGCATTTGATGCAAGCAGGATTAAGAAGACAATTAAAAATTTCACAACATAATTTTAGTATAAAGCAATACGGGTATGCAACTTCAAAGTTTATGCAGTTGCTTTTCCACAAAAAAGCCATTTCCAACATAAATTCTTCAATCTGCAGATTAACAAATACTATACTGAAATCATTTTGCGACACCTAAGTTATGCTCACGGTGCTTCTTTGTTCTTTAGTAATAGATGAAGTCCAAATAATTAATTCATTAGTTAGAGACAACAGCCATTAAGTAGATCATAAAAAAATAATAATAATAATAGTTTATCATGTCTGCAAAGTGAAGGGTCAAGTAGCATACTATTCGGATACGAGAAGAGAGTGCATCAAAAATAAGCATTCTTCCAGATAGGGTTTCGCCAATACCACTGGCAACCTTTATTGCCTCAAGAGCTTGAAGACAACCAATAACACCAGGAACTGGTCATAGAAAAAGAAGTTGGCTTCAGCATTAAAGCATTAACAGAATAAACTTGAACAACCCCAATTGAAAAAAAAAATAAATGTTTAGCCAAAGTGCTAATATGTCAGAATAACTTGAACTTTGAACTGTTTATAAAAAAGTATAAAATACAATTGGCTCCACTGCAACGGGTTTTGGAGATGGTTTTTGTAGAAGTTTTAATTAGCATTGTTGAAAGGTTATCTCTGGAGTTAATCATATGGCCTTCCAAGATACAATGGGGTGGAAAAATTGTTGTTCCCATGATGTATAAATCAGGATAATGTCCATAAAAGTAAACTAAAAATAAATGAACGGAGGATGCTAAGAGGAACTAGTAGCCAAAGGCATAAAATATATGCCAAAATAGAACTTTCAAATCAAGCAAGCTTGGCAGCACAAAGGTTTTGGAGCTTTGAAATGAAAACAAGGTGGTAACTACTTAACTAAAAATTTCAACCCCTAATAGCTCCAAAATAGATTTTTAAGTAATAACAAAAGGAGTGTCTTTAGCCAAATTATAGTGAATTGATCACAATCATCTTAGCCATGTTCAAACTGTTTTGTGGTGGACTAGATGAATCTTCCACTTTCATTCATTTTACTAAGTAATACATAGGGTCTCAAGTCTAGCTGGCGCACATTATTTTTCATAACTTATTGTCATCCTACTGTTGTCGTTGTCAGGTCCCAAGTCTTGGATGAGAAAAATGAATGGTTGCATTAGGTAGTCGACAGCCAGCATAAAACTTGTCGAATAAACACAATGCAGAAAAAAGATTCATGTAGCCGACTCCATGTAGTGGGATAAAGGCTTGGTGTTATTTTTGTTGTTGTTGTTGTATAGTCATCCTACATTTAGTCTGAAATTAAATTTTCAAAGTCCTACCCCATTAATTCTATACAACCGCCTAATCGATGCACAAGTTTCCTTCTAATTTACATGTCCAAACTAACACAGTTAATTTTTTACTATCTCGTCTTCAACGGATGCTACTCTAAATATCTTTCTAATATAATTATTTAACTTTATCCTTCCTAGTTTTACCATAAATCTATTTTAATAATTTCATTTTGTTGCACTCAACGATTGTATAATGGGAAATGGTGCATGGGTTTACCGAGAAGGGGTAGAAAACAGTTGGATTATTCATCCTCTCCCTCAAATTTGGGAAGCTTTATTTGTATATCAAATTTCATGTAATTGATACTAACATCACTTTCAAAGCCCTCCTAAGACAGCCATGGCTCAATCAATATGACATTGTTTCGTCCACCCTACACTAGTGAATGAAATATTCAAGAGATGGAGAATAATTTAAGGTTTCTGCTGATATACAGCCATTCCCAGTGAGCAAAATATAAATATATCAATATGCTAGATACTTTGCTTCTAAGGAAACAAAAGTATGCAACCATTCAAATATGCGGCATTTATATTGAAGGTTGCAAACAACCCGAAAAGTAAGACGTTAAAAAGTAAAGAAGGAGAAATAAAGCAACATTGGCTCTCTCTAAATTAACTATAATGGACACAGAAAAAGAAGATATCCCTCTCAAACTCAAAAAGATGCACAATCTTTTAGTTAAAGGGAAGATTATATGGAAGCCAATCCAGATTTAGATTATAAATTTGAATTTTCATACACATACAAGGTAAAATGTGTCACTAAGAAAAATAACCGACACACCAATATCAAAAACTAGTCATGTGGCTACCCCTAAATTGCATCATTTCAAAGAGATCTGTTCTCATCGGATCCATAACATTGAAAAGTTAAAAAAAAATTATGCGCATCCTCTACGTGGTAGTAGCAGACCAAGGAGCTTATTTATAAATCTAGAGAGTAACATAGAGAAATATATTGAAAATGGATAAAGAATTCCTACAAGGATGCCCAAGTATTAACCTCCACGAATTTGAAAGGCGGTGCGGAAGCTAGGAGAACGTGCCAGGATCACTAAATGACGAACTCAATATTTTCAAAAAATATGACTAGCATCACAAAAAATGACAACTATACAACCAAAAGGCCTCAGATTCCTACTCAAAAGAAAATTTGTTATGCAATAATAGAGAGAGAAGTTGAATCCAAAAGCAGTGGTGAAGGACTTTATGAAGTCAGCCTCAGACAAAGCCATCAAAGTCAAATGTGAACTTGAAGAATTGGCGGCTATTTTGAACCGAATTGGAAGAGCCCCTTATGCCATCAAAAATATATATATCGAGAAGGTACCTATAGATTCATCAACTTGAAGGGTCAAATACCCATAACACTAATCAATGGTTAGTATCTGAAGCACTGTGCATGAAAAGCAAGTTAAGGAAAATATTGTACTCGAAACTTTTCTGTTAAACTAAAAATATACTCTCTATATTATCAATAAGTATACTCATTTATTTTTTAACATTTATAAAATAAGAATGCATTTTAAGATTATTGTGAAAAGGTATACTTAGATTTTCTCGAACTATCTTATGAAGCAAGAATGTGTTTTCAAATTATCGCAGAAAATCTACTGCAAAATAGAAGGCATTTTTCAAATGTTATAGTAAAGATTTGTTGAAATCACCCCAATGAGATAGAGGGCATTTTCTATTTTAAGATTTAAAGGTCACCGAATTTTCCCTCTGAGACAAGAAGCATTTTAAATATTTCTTAAGGATGATATAGTGCTTTGCGAAGAGATCCACAAATAAATATTTAAAATTACTGATAATACAATTTATCTAATCATGCAAATACAAAGCTAAAGATAATGCCTTCAAGTATGCATACATGTGATTTTTTTTTCGTATGCTAGGATTTTTTCCCTTTTGCTAGGGCTTTTGCCCTAGCCGCCTTTCTTCTTCGTCTCCGGCTCCGACTCCCCTTTTTTCATGGCGAATAAACGGTTAGATCCTGGCTTTCTTGAGAGTAAGCAATCCAAATCCTTCAAAGATGTGTTGTCTGTTCCGATGGTTCGAAAGGTTTTCCGGATTTTTGTGTTTCTACGATTCGGGGAATGCATGCTTTGTGATTTTCGGAAGATGAATTTTTGCATCTCGCAAAACCTTTTGAGTTTGCTTTGGTGGGGAAATTTCCCCTTAAACGGCCGGATTTTGATTCGATCAGTAGGTTTTTTTGTCAATCTTAAACTATCCGGTGATTTCTCTGTCACTTTGTTGGATCAGTCAAACGTCTTGATCAAACTTTCGAATGATCTAGACTATGGGAGGGTTTTTGCGCACCGTTCTTATTTCGTTTTTGGCTGCTTCATGAAAGTGATCAAGTGGTCGCCTCTACTTGACCTGTCGAAGGAATCGCCGATTGTCCCTGTATGGATTTCTTTTCCTGGTTTACGCCCTCACCTTTTCTCCCCTCGGATTCTCTTTGGGTTGAGGTCGATTTTTGGTCGTCCGATTCAAACCGACAATGCCACGGCTGTTGGCTCTCGTCCCTCAGTCGCTCGCATTCTTGTTGAAATTGATATTTCTAAAACTTTCCCTGATTCCGTTTAGCTGGGTCCGGAGAAATTTGGCTACGTTCAAAAAGTTGTTTTTGAAGGTATGCCAAATTTCTGTCAGCATTGTAAGGCTGTGGGTCATAAGAAATCGGAATGCATTAAGCTTTATCCTCATCTGCGTCCGGCTGTGGATTCGGCTCCATCGCCGGTGGATCCTGTTTCTAAACCCGTTGTAATCTCTGTTAACCCTTTTATTTCGTCTAATGCTCCTCTCTGTGATAATGATGTGGTTAATGTTGAAGTTCCTTCGGTTCGTGGGGTTTTGGACTGTGATATTACTGATAATGTCGTGGTGGTTGATGCATTACCCTCTGTTCAATCTCCGTGTTGTGAGCATGGTGATGTGGCTGGGTGTTTTAATGAGGCTGGGATTTCTCCGGGCACATTAACTACTCGAGTAAATGCTAATAATACTGTTGTTGAGGAATATTGTACTGCTGTGGTTGAGCCCGATCATTCGAATGTTCCATTGCCTGCGTTGGGTGAGGAGGTTTTGCGGCTGAGTGATAATGAAGTCTCTAGTGGTCTGGGTGTTGTGGCTCAGTGTATACCTGCTGTGAATGTGGACATAAATGCTGAATGTGTGCGGGTGGATACTTTGAATGGTAATTCGGTGTGTTCTAACACTTTTGTTGATGTCCGTGTAAACTTGGTCGACACGCACACTATGGTCAATCGATTGAGTGTTAATTCTGGCATTGATATTAGGAACCATGTGGATTGGCTGCATGGTTCGTCTGAATTTGAATCTGAATCCGATTTTTCGGATTGTGGCTTGGCCTCTCCAAATTTTTATGGTGGATCTGACCCTGGAAACGAATTCTCTCTGATTCGTGATAGACCTGTGCTCTCAGCTGCTTCTCGTGGAAGATTTCGTGGGAGGGGACAAAGAAGAAGATAATTTATTTGTATTATGTTATTGTTCCCTTTCTGTTTCTGTGGGATTATTTTACACGATTTTTTAATCGTTTTGGAGATGCGATGGTTTGTGGACTATTATGTGGCTGAGGCTCATGTCCTCGTCGTCTTGCTGGTGGCAACCTTTGGTGATATTCCTCGAGTTGGTGGGTTTCTGGGCACTTTATTCACCTTACTGGATGGTCCGTGTGAGGCTTCGGGGATGCTGGGAGCCTCGGCTGATTACTGAGTCTATTTTTTATTGTATTTTGTCTTTTTTCTCTTTTATTTATGCTCTTTTGCTTATGTAACCTTCTCTGATTTTCTTAATATATTAGTTCTTCTTTGGTAAAAAAAAAAAAGAGTATGCATACATGTGACCATTACAAAACCGTAGAATCGTCCCTCAGCTTGCCAAACTCCTAAAGGCCAAATGGCATTCCCCACTACACTTCCTTTCTTTCCCTTTCTCAAAGTCCAAACTCCCTCTTTCTCCTCTCCTGCTCCAACCAAAAGTCCCAAACCCTCAGAAAAAAAGATGCAAGGAAGTCATGCAAAAGTTCCTAGAAGAAGGCGTTGATATTACGAGTTGCGTGTATAGATGAAGAGATAATCCTAATGCAAATCATTTTGGGAGTTTACATCTCAAACAAAGGTGATGCTATTTTTAAAAATACCACCAAATCCTAATGCAAATCATTTTGGGTGCAAATCCATATAAAAATGCAAAAATCTGAAAAAACAAAGATTTAAATATTAAAATGTTCAAGCATTTTTTATTGTCCTAAGCTTAAAGTAACAATTATTCACCCTCCATAATAGTTTGTCGAGGCTAACAAATTTAAAATTAATCTCATAAAGAGCCAATATCATATCAAACTCAAACACTAACGTAAGTACGTGACATGTGTCATCTGATCATGTGATTTTGTCGTCAAATAGCATCACAAAATTATAGTTATGGCCGAAAGCCCCAAGTGGTTGTGCCACAAAAACAATATCATTAAATTACATAGAAGACAAAAGCTCGATTGTCCCCCAATAGCTCAAATCCCTTGAGTGGTGAATGATATGGTGCACTTGATGGGGCACGAAGCCCATTATTTGCTAAGGTACCTTGAACGATTTAAGTCATGGCTACTAAAAAGAATCCTTCAATCAGGTTGGGTAGATTACCTCTATAAAGATAATAGAATTCATGATAACATAATCATGGGATCTTGATTATGTTCTTCATCATTCCCCCACCCTCTTTGAGCCACAGGGGTAGATATTCTCTTCTCAAAATAAAAAATCACTGTTAATATATGCTAAACACTTGGCATCTATCAACTAGACTTAATCGAAAGTTCTCTCATGCCATCGAGAGAGACAATTAACTATAGGGGCTGTGACTTAGGAAACCATGAACATGAACTAAATCATAAAGTACTCATAAAATGACTAAATCTCTACGTAATATGTCTTCTAAAAATTTTACCTGCAACCAAACTCTCTTAAAAGAGCTGACCATGAATTTTCGGATCCCACAAATTTATGCCAAATGAAATTTGAGTTAAGAAAAAAAAAAAGGCTGACTCTGAGACAAGAAAACTCATACAGAACACTGAATAAGCGCTGCACCAGTAACAGTAACCATCTATCAACTCATTTTTTTTTGTAATTGACTCATTATAACATAAAGATCAACTTACCTACCCCAAGGACGCCACTGTCAGAACACCTCTGGCATGCTGCTGTAGGAGGTGGTGTTGGAAAAAGGCATCTGTAACACGGGCCACCCTTGTGATGATAAACGGTGAGCTGCATAGAACAAGTTTTGTTCCCTAAGCTGCTATTCTTAATTCAGAATAATTCAATCCTCCTAAGCCAGAAGGTAAGTATCTGAACTAAGGAGTGAGAACAATCCTAAGCATAGAATGAAAACCATTCAGATATAACAACATTTTTAGGCAAAATAAAGAAAACCTACCTGGCCTTCCAAGCCTAGTGCTGCACCTGATATAAGGGGCTGCAAGCAAGCAATGAAACCCATGAGAAATTAAAGACAGCATAAGACTTGAGTCCTGACGTTATCAAATTGAAGTTAGTGTGTGGCACTTCAAAAAGATATAAGTGAATGCAAGATTATTGAAGGGTTGATTTTGTATTAGTCAAGATGCAATCAACAATTATTTTGGGCTATTCATCTATGATTCTTTAGAATTAGGTGAGAAAACCAATGTGTATGTGGACTTATTCACTTAACAGAATGATATTTCTTAAATATGTAAATATTTTTGTACTTATTCACATCTTTCCCAGTTAGCATTTCATGGTTAGATCCTTTCAATCATTGATGAGTGGTCAAGCCATCCCACCATGAACAATAACAACGTGCAGAAGTTATAAAGCTAGCTTCCATTACAACAAAACCTCAGACCAGAATAAACCAAACAATCTATATCATTCAAACAAGTTGAAGTCTAGTTTTAATTTTTGTAAATATTTAAGAGCAATGAGGTCCCAGAAGAAAAATCGGATTATCAGGCATATAATAGAATTTCTGGCAAAATTTTGAAGATGCTAGATGGAAGTTGAAAGACGCATTGGACAATAACCTTGCAAAGAGAGATGACAGAGTCTCTAAGGAAGAATGGTCTTAGTAGCTCTAATTCACTAAATTAGACGAGGATAAAAGTTTCATCTAATTGTTATATTTACACGATTGCTCTATTAAGCAACAAGCTTTATAAACGAACATTTTGATTCCTAAAGGGTAACAAGTCTAATCCACTAGCAATAGAGCATGCAAAACTATTATGTTTGATACATCTTTTGTTTGAATAATATTCTCAGTTAATAAAGCAGCACACTAGAACGAGAACTGTCAAGTCAGTAGTAGATTGCATTTCACAATGATATAGCAAAATAGATATACATGGTGCATATGCCGCATAGTATTTTCCCCTAAACCATAAGAAGAGGTCAGAAAACACTTTTCACCATATTCAAAGTGCATCATATAGCATCAAGAAGACTTTGTAAGAAAAGCATACCACATTTGGTATTTTACGGATTAGAAAGATAAGATTATCGAGTGTATCAGACTAGAAAGATCCTTAAGTGATTTATTCCTCAAATATAAGCTGAAAAAAACAATTGAGTAAAAGAAACTTTTAACACCATATTAACTTGATATAAGGATTAACAAGCTTGGATATCTCCCCTAAAGATAAATGCCAAGTTCTACTAAATATTCTTGGTTTCCAAATTCCAAGTCACTTTCTTTTCTTGATTGATGAAATTGTGAGCTATGTTTGTGCCCATGTACTGAAGAGATATTGCTCCCAGTGTTTGCATTTATAAGAAATTTAAGAAGCCGATACACCAAAATAACTAGTTCTAGCACAGGCTACACACAAACTTTAGGCTGTCTAGGAATACACAAACACGGTAACAGCCATTGCGTAGTCACTTCAGCACTCTTTCCTCGGAAGAAATAACATAAACTAAATTTGAGTAGATTAACAATCAACAATAAAGCATTTCCCTTTGCAGGTTTTGCCAATGGATCATGCATATCTGCTTCTCCTTCTTCATCACCATCATCATCATTATCATTGGCATTTACCCAGTAATATCCATGTCTCTTGCAACTAAAAAGCCTAAACGCAGATTGCATTAAAGATGCAAATTTAAAGATTTCATTGTGTGATTGTTCACTGATCCATAAAAGATAGAAGATAATCCTGACTAGAATTGGAATCTCATCATTTATCACCAGTGTTGACTACTCTCTATATGGCCAAGCCAGCTGATAAAGTGCTTCATTCACAATTTATACAAGAAATTGCAATTTTGGAACATGACATGATTTCTCCAACTATTTCAGATTTTGCATATATTCATCAGATTTCCCATATATGGATCAAAGACATACAAAAATTTTAGATTTCATGGATTCTCCAGTGACATTCTCTTTTGTAGTTGGAATAATTGAGAGAGACAAGAGGACAAGAAGAGGATAATGGCTATAGTGGCTCGAATGGTGGAGCCAAGGAAATTGTTGGTGGTGGTTGGAGATGAGGGTAGAGGCTAGCGGTGGAGTTATTAGATTTCTCCAACCTAGATTTGTGGACCACCATGACACTGGCATCGATGATTTTAGTAGGTCACAACAACACTACCGTGCCCTCAGCAGTCTCTCCACCATCAATGATTTTAGTGATTTTGCCTTCCTCTCAATATTTGAGACTCACAACAGTGTAGCCTTGGTTCCAACATCCTCTTTTGCAAATATGAATCCCTGGGCATCACATTATTAATCACCATGACACCAACATATCTCTGGTATATTTTTAAGATTTAAAATACAAAAATTATTCTTACCAACCTATTACATATGTTTTTAAGATTTAAATACATAAACATTGTTATAATTAATCTATTATAATACAATGGCTATATATTATCATCAATTTCAACAGTTTCAAAAATATTTAGATTATGGTGATGGGTTAGTGGCCTAATTTAAAATTAAATTTAATATGAAGTTATTAAAATAAATTTTTATGCGAACATTAACTAAATATTATGATTCACATTCTTTTATTTATTGAATGTGATTGCCATATTTATTATTCAGTCTATCAAATAGCTTCTCACCATTTTCCAAACAAACAAGAAATGTCAAGTATATTTAAGCTGAACTTCATTAAAAAATTCTAAATGACAATAAATGAAATAGAGTATATTAAATAATAATTTCGATACATACTAAAAAATAATACAGTCAATCATTCTATGCATTTCACATAAATAGAGCCCTGATATGGGATTGAAGGCTATGAGACGTGACTATGAGGTGCAATTAGTTTGTTAATATGTATTATATTAAATTTTGTACCTCCATGCTAGTGTACTTTCTCAGATTTTTCTATATATTTTGTATTGCTATCAAATTTTCTTATATTAAAAATAAATTTTCTTTTCTTTTATAACGTGTTTTAAGAAAATTTGATTTTTTATATAGAGCATAAATTTATATGATTTTCCACCATTAGCATGAAGCCAAGATAACAGCAGCAACAAGAAATGCCCTTCATTGATAGTTTTCAGCCTATGATTAATCTCTGAAGACGTCTCTATTCATCTTTTTTAGCTTTGGCACAGTAGTTAACACAATTCTAATACCAACATAAAATTGTGAGGTCATAAATTTTCAGCAAACAATCTCTAATGAATTATGCTCTTTCTGCTATTAAACTATTAGAAATGTATATAAAGCTTTCCTTCACAGTTAACTTGATGACATTTGTCAATATTTTTCATAGTTTAACCTTTAGTATTTTTCAAAGTAAAATTTTGTGTTTAGTCATGATATATTATTTTATGACAATTTATTTTTTCCAAACCTATAAACTTATTGTAATGAAAGAGCTTTATATTGTTTTGGGAAAATAGGTTTAGTGTTTAGGTGACTATTAGAATGCAAAGGGACAAAGCAATAAACTACTTACAACATAGACAAAAAATTTGTGCCAATCAATTATAATTAAATATAAACATGTTACATAAAAATATAAACATGTATGTTACTGTAAATATACATATATAATTATAAATGCATACTTTGACCATAAAAATACTAATTTTTTTTGGATCCCACATTGTGTGGGTTTCCAACAAGTTTAAACAATGATTTAATATTGAGTGATAAACTCTGGTTCTTGAGACACACCCCATAGAGAGGCACATGCAAAGCGCCTCGAAGCTATAGCTTAACAAGAGGAAAGAAAGACATAAGCCTTAGGTGCATCTCAATGTGAGCCTTTAAGCACTTTTAAAGAGGTACAAAATATTTACTTACTTTATGAAGGGTGACAGTTATTAATTAAAATTAGTCTAAAAGTCATATTATTGATTATCTTTTCTTTTATAAGGTATGCTTTCATGTCCTTGTTAAGTAAGGTAATTTTATAGCTATGCTTGTTGTGGTCTTGCATATAAAGTTGGCCTATATAAGCCCATCCCTCTTTTGTAGATTTCAGTTTTTGTTTAGTTTTGTTTCATGGTATCCTCATTTGATACAGAGTTCAAGACTTTTTGTTTGTGGAGGGAAGGGTGGAGAGGGGATTGTAGTAGAGTCTCAAACTATGCCATAATCGATCACCGAGATCCCAACATCAATTTCATAGGTCTTCCAAGGCAATTTAGTTGTAATTTTCCAGCGGTCGTGGTAATGCTGCAAGGCAAGATGGAATCTATAAGTGATGAGAGTGAGAGTGGGAGTGTGATGAGAGTTGGAGTGAAAACACCAAAATAGAGAAGAAGAAATTGCTATAACACAAATATTATGACTGATTTTGATTAATACTTCAACAATAATGAAAGATATAATTGATTTACTATTCGCAGACTCTTATATAAGAGCCTCCCGAAACCCCGCTCTTACTACTTCTCTCCATCTGCCTCTGATCCTCTACTATCTGTGCTAGCTCCATCATCTCCTTCAACCCCCCTCGGTCTCAGTAATCGAAGATTCGCTCGTGTCGGCCTTGAGGCCCATTGTCTCCTTCACCTTTGCTTCTCCACCCCAACTTCATCTTCCACCACTAGTTCCCCACGTGTAACTACGGTGGGAATCCCACCTTTTTTCCATCTGCCTCCCATAATCCAATCCCCATGGCTCAATTCGTCCACCTCCTTCCACAATTTTCCATACCCCTTGCCCAAGTAGCCTTCCATAGTACTCGGTCACTCCACCACCCTTGCTATAAAACTCACTTCTTGTTGCGCCTCTCTCTGGAACTCCTGATTCTCCTTTTATTGGATCCCTAAAAGGTGGTTCTTAATGAAAGAAGCTTTCCTCTTCGAACTCTTCCAGCCTGATCTCTTTCCCCTTAGTTGCGGTCAAGGGAATCCTGGTAGATTCTGAATTAGGTTTAGCAATTGGAACCCCCGGTGAAGTTTTTGTTTGCATCTCCAAGAGCTTCCTTAACATCTCCTCCACCCCTCCAAATTAATTTTCCATGGATGAAAACCTTTCTTCCATGGTTGAGAATTTATCATCCACGCCAGATTTGAATTGCTCCATTTTGCCTTCCAACGCATCCACTTTCTTTATGTCATTGCCTCCAAAAACCCTTACTCTGATACCACTTTGATGCGATTTGGAAGTGAAAAAAAAAAAGTAAAATAGAGAATAATAAATTGCTAGAACACAAATATTAGGGCTGATTTTGATTAATATTTAATGCTTCAACAATAATAAAAGATACAATTGATCTATTATTCAAGAGGTAGATCGGCTCTCCCATAAACCCTAAACACCGCTAGGAAACTCTCAAAGAAAAGCTACATCAAACATAACAATTGCCTAATCTGAAAATAATACAAAGTTAGCCCTAAATAGCGCACCCCCCCCTAAATTCCTCCCAAATCAACCTCTCAATTTTGAATTCTTTCCCTAAATAATTCCCTCCTAATTATCATTAAAATCTTCCTAAATCTCTCCCTCCATTTCTCTTTCTAATATATTGAATTAAATACTTCTTGGGCACCACAAGGTGGGCCGAACACCCCTCACTAGAACCGCCGTCCGATTTAGAGGAACCGGGCATAATAGAGTGACTTTTGAATCCGAAGTTCAAAGTCATAATTAGTTTATTTTAAACTTCTTGTTTGTGTTTACTTGTTTAAAATCTTAAACTTCTTGTTTATTATTGGGTTTTTGTATGATTTTTAATGATATTATATTATAATTTAAAACTATTACTCTTAAATACTTTATTTTTCATACATTTAATTTACTTAATGATTTTATTTTGAGATTTATGCCTTAAAATATCTTAAGGCTTACAGTTCGCCTCACAAACATAAAAGCACAACTCATCAATATCTGGTTGTGTAATTTTAAATCTTGATTTAAAATATATTTGACTTCCAACTCTATCTAAACAATTTAAATCTTGATTTTACTTCAATCATATTACTTAAGTAGGATTTTGTAAATCCTGTAAATAAGAATTTACTAAATCTTAAGGCATTTAACTCATTAAAATTGTTTAACATGATAGTGGTTAAATATGATTAAATCCTAACAAACTATTTAACAACTCATTTCATGATTTAAGTATGTTACTGTTAGCAGCAATAGTATTCAAATAATAATATTTGATAAATAATTTAAAATATGTTGAGGCTTCAATTTCTTTTAATATACTAAACACACTCCAAAGAATTTAAGAGGTCAAACAATAGGTAATTTATTATGCTAATTAAGTAATAATTTATACTTAGACAAATTAAATATAAAAAAACAACTTTAATTTAAGATAATAAACTTTCAATTAACAAACATTAATTATAAAGATTAAATTAATTTCATCAATTCTAATTTTATCAATTAAATTATAATTAGTAGAGATTAATATTATAAACAATCATTAATTGGCAGTTTATAAAATTAATTAAACATAATAAATTTTATTTAATTATTTTAAATCACAAATAATATTAATTTATGTAAATTAATATTTTAAGTTAATAAATATAACTTATTAAGATTAATTTAAATTTTAATTAATATAACTTCTTTATTTATTTTTAAATAATATATTTTATTAACTATGAACCCTCATCTTTCTACCACAAATTTCTGAAACCCTGAACAACAAAGAGCGGGAGCTTGTTGGGGAGGACATCGAGGAGGGCAACAGTGTGTGAGAAGACAAATGTGTAGTGGATCACAGATCTTCAGAATCTAATGATAAAAAAAAATGCGCCTGTATGTTGCTAACAATTCATTGCAAATTATCTAAAAATACATTACGTCCAATCATCACCGAAAAGAAAATGGAGCAATTTATTCACATAAACATTCTGACCAATTCACCATCATTAACATGCATGCACCACATAACCCCTACAATCTAGTTCTTTGTTTATGAGAAGTTGAATATTTAAATCATAGAAACAAAACAAATAATAATGTGGGAAGAATAACCAACCTTGTTCATCACAACACAACAGTCACTGATCATATATCGACTAGGCAAGTTGTCTGTTGCATCCACCACTATGTCATATCTTTAATGGAATTAATAGCATTGCAAAACTGATAGCATGATATACTAAAACTATGCTTAAAAAAAAACTGGTAATATGATATGCTAAAGCACAGAAAAATATATATATATCAAAATAATGTCTGAACTATTTGTATGAGTTCATTTTAGTCTCAACCATCTAGTGTGCCAAATACAGTCCTTTGACTCCTCAAAGATGATCCAAAATAGTCAATATAATCCTTTGACCATATTGGATCAGATATGAAAAGTCAACGGATTAAATTGAACATATTATATAGTCTGAGACTAAGGCTTCATTTGGGACGGCTTTTTTATTGCTTCTTAAAGCGGCTTTCTAGTAAAAAATTAATTTTTAATTTTTGTACTAGAAGCCTCTTTAAGAAGTTGTAAAAAAGCCATCCCAAACGAAGCTTAAATGGTACCTCATACATAGTTCAAGGACCACTTTGATAATTTTCTCTACAAACAAATAAGCTAAAAGGATTACTGATACAGATAATTCTACCTTTGCATCAAGGATACTTGCTTACAATATCCAAAGCATTTGATGCTTGCAAAGCTTGATTATGTTCCACTAAATTAATGGAAGAGTTGATCCTGCGTCAAGTAAAAGATACACAATTGCAATATGTGTTCCCTATTAAATATATGTTGGAACATCACTTTCCATTAGAGATGCTGAAACAATTGTTGCAAATGGCTCAACGCATGCGAAAGGAGAATAATCAATTCCAGGATGATAAATACATACGCACGGCAAGCAGCAGCTGCTGACTTAACTTTTGCATGGCCAACATATGCTTCTGGATGGATTATCTAGATAAAAAAACATCATAGAACAATTAAACCCTGCCAGAAGGCCTTTGGCAATGTGGATATTATAAATGAAAAAGTGTGCACAAAAAGGGCGGTTATAAAAAAGATAAAAACCAGGCCAAACAGGTCGGATCTGGAGAAAGGTCATACAAACAAATCTTATCATTTGAATTGTTAAGATAATTGAAAACCACTTGGTACCTTTTACTAATAATATAAGTGTTTGTGTGTGTGTGTGTGTGTGTATAGGCAAATACAAGAAGAAAATAATGAGAAAAATATTCTCAATTATGTGGATATAGTTACAAAATAAAAGTAAAATATTAATTGAATTAATAACTTTTAATATGGCATAATCTTTACGATTACACTTCCACTTAAACTAGAGCATAAATATTAATAAAATCAAGCTTGTTAAGATTGGTAAAACAGAATAGTGCCAAATCCTTTGTAAAAAAATCTGCAGATAATTTTTTGTTGGAGAAATGAGGAATGATGATCTTCTTTGAAAGGATTATATATTTGCAGTGACAATCTATTTCAACATATTTTGTTCTTTCATTAAAAATAAGGTTGCCAGCAATGTGGTTCGTCGTATGACACTAAGAACCATGATTACCCAACCAAATATTTTGTTGGCAGCAAGAACAATCTGTTTGAGATCATAAGAAGAGTGGGTAGTAAGCTCCATGACTCAAAGAATGCATGAGAGAGTTGTGGAGATATTGTTAGTCACTAATTGAGCTTGAACAAACTAGAGAGATGGATGGAGATCAAAGAGAAACTTGACAAGAAAAAAATTTTCATTTTGTTTTTGTTAGGTAGAGAGATTAGTGGTAAATAAGCGAATATTAAAGAAGTTCATCATATTTTCATTAAAGGTACTATAAAAATCTTAAACAAATTTGTCGTGTGGATGTAAAGATGATCTAGGAAATGAGAGTGTATATCAAAGAGATATTATTATTTTGATATGTAGAACGAAGAAAGTTACACAACGTCACAACCCTTAGACAGTCTTCTAAAATATGATGGTGGAAGCAATTATTGGTTTAAGAGGATTGAGCGCCCATGTGAGAACTGCAGAATCAAAGGCTTGCCATTTTATATATGTAGAGGTGTCCTTTGGTTCAGGAGTCGAACAGTCCAAATGTTAAGTTTTTCATGAAAGCTGAAGAGGAAATGATAGGTTCAAGATCATAAGAGATATTGAGTTTAATAGTGCGAAGAATATTAGAGGGTTTCATTTTGGAGATAGGAGTAGAGGAAGGCGTCAATGAACGCCACAAAGAAAAGAAGACAACAATGATAAGCTTATTAATCACATGGATTCAAAGGAAAAGCACGAATGAGGTTGCAAAAGTACAATCACCAGATGAGATTGTTTATTAGACACATGCGCAAGTGAGAGAAAGTGCAAACAGCACGTTAGCAACAGGAGGAGAAGTTGCGGCAGGCAATGGGCCATAAGGTTGTGGCGATCACGAAGTGCAAGGTTGAGCCATAGCATAGTAGAAGGTGTGAGATGCAATAGGACACTAGGCTATGGGCCTAGGTGAAGGTGCAAAAGGGTGAGGATGATTGAGTGCACACATCACGCAAGAAGTGGGAGCAGTAGAAGACATGAGGCATAAGAAAAAAAAATAACGGAAGATAGGGGAGAGGTAACAAGCGATCAATGGCTGAGCTCAAATCACACTATGATACCATGAAAGGTAATTAAAATCTACTTATTATCTTTCACTATAATATATATGCCTATAAGCAAGTATAAGAGATAAAATAAGGGAAAAAAAAAGAATAATATACTCAATTATGAGGATATATAACATAATAAATCAGAATATTGATTTAATTAATAACTCCCAATCTAATAAAATCTACCGATAACACATATGATTCAAGATCACTTATTAGAATTATGGTAAGGTTTTCAAATATGCATAAAATGGGTTGGGTATTATTCTCACAAGTTACTCTAACCAAATTATTGTCAACAAAATTAAATTTTAAGAAAATGTTCCTGGTATTTTCACATGGATATAGAACAAGAAAGATATCACACAAGTCACTTGATTCTCTGGATCTGAAGATCTAGGCATTTTAAATTAGTACAAGTCAAGTATAGATCTTTTCCAAAAAGTTAGGGTATGTAGCCCCATAAATTTATGGATGGAGGGTTTTAAAGGATAAGATAACATGACTGAATCTGAAAGTAGAAATATAATATAGAAAATTTCATATGTTGTACAGGATCTATTAGTTTGGTGGAGTAGCATTAAAAAGGTAGTTGGATATAAGGTAAAGCAAATCAACTCGAATGGAAAAAGAACTGCATAGCCGAAAAGATCATAGTAACTAGAAATCCACAGGTGGTCAATGATATTAGATAAACAACTAGAATATAATCTAGGCATTATCCTCCTGTTTTTAATATCAATTAAAAAGGTGAAATATGTATTTATATTAATCATACATAAGGAAAACTTAAGAACCACTAGATTGGGTTGAAATTTATAGGATTGGGTTCTAAAAATGTATACAAAGCAATAGAAATAAGAGGCATAATAATGTTTTGCAAGTAGATCGACATTAACCACTATGATGTGATTGGAAATCTAATCCAACTGTGGATTAGTAGAAGAAACATCTAATTAAATAAGATAAAATTAAGACGAAATTACTTAAGAGGTAAATCAAACATGCAATTAACCTGCCGGTGTAGGTTATTAAGCTCAACAATATCACTGTCAACAATCCCTATGCAACCTTCAAGGACAAAAACTCAATATTAGAGAAACAGAAGAAAGCCATAAAGACAATTTACAGGTTAAATGAGTGAAATCAAATGTTCTTGAAGTAAACATGCATATTCGTTCATAGGGCTGAAGTCAAAACTATGCCAAGAATTTAGTCATGGGAACTATTATATAGGAAACAATAGCTTGGCCGCTAAGGTGTTAAGAAGCAAACCAAAAAGAGGATAGAGTTGAGCCTCATATACTAGTGGTCAAAGCAAAGCTCATGTTTGTGGGTGAGGACCCACCGCTTTGTATGTCTACACCAATATATTTTTAAACTATTCAATGTAAAACTAAATTCAAGTATTGCAATCATAAAAATTCCCCCTCTTGTGAGAGCTCCAATCGAAAATCACAGCCCCTCAAATAGAAGCTTTTCAATATCATCAAGAATCATGCACTAATAGCTCACTCAATCTCATGGAAACGACCATGATAGTCACTTGCTCATGAACCTCACGCAACGATGATAGAAAGGACCAAGGACCTTTGAGAGCAACAAACCACTTGAAATACTAGATCTCAGACACTTGTTAGAGAATGAACCAACCAAAAGCTATAGAGTTTGGCCTAATACACAATTACAAAGCTCATATTCAATCCAAAAGCTTAAACTTTTAGGCAAATCACATGGCATTTCTACACCAATATACTTTTTAACTACTCAATACTAGAGCAAAAGGCTATGAGTATGATGGCTATGCTTGGCTCAAAGATCTTTAGACTTTGGAGGATTATGTGAAGCACTCAAGTTCCACAGGAACTTGTGAAAGAACTACTAGGTGCTCAAAAATGCCTACGATAATAAAAGAATAATATAAGGCTGATAAATGACAAAAGCTCTCTCAACAATTCAACTACATTTGGTAGATGAGATTTTTATAGGATATTAGAGGAAACTACCATTGAAAATTTATAGCTCAAGTGGGAGTCATTATACATGACAAAAAGCCTCTCCACGACTATAACAAATTGTACCTTGAGCAAGTAATGTATTTACTCCACATGCAAGAAGGTACATTGATCGAATAACATCTAAATGATTTCAGTTATATCATTCAATATTTGTGAAATATATATGTAATTGATGAAGATGAATATCAAGCATTACTATTAGTGCAATATTTATCTCTTTCTTGCAAGCACTTCCGAGACAGCATGTTATATGAACATGATATACTAAGGTTAGAGGATATCATAAATTCACTTCTTCAAAAGAGATGATTATTAAGCTCTACTCTACAGAAATGATAAACTAGTTGAGGTTTATTAAAGATCAGGGGGTGATTGTAGGAGAAAATTCAAGAATATTACCAATTTGTACTATAAGAAGAAATGGCACATAAAGAGGAATTGCTTAGCCTTAAGAAAAAAGAGCACTAAATAGATAACAACCACAAGGAGAAATTAGTATATAGAAGTGTAATTGCAAATTGATTTGGTTGTAGTGATGCTTATTTAGTAACTTATTGATACAAGTGCAAATACAACTGACTCTACTCTTGACTTGTAATAGACAGATGTATTCTAAATTTATGATGTTTTTCACGTATAAGCCATGTTTTGGTGACTTCGTGTACACATAAAATGGAGTTATGTACAAGAATAAAGCTCTGACATCATGAAGTTGACGTCACACGGTGTTGTGGCAATTTTGATGATCAGAGTCAAGTATACACTAAATCTACGGAAGAACCTAATATCTTAAAATACTCTCAGCATGCAAGATATATGTTCTTAGGTGATGCTAATACCCTTAAGATCTATAAGGGTGCTTTAGTTGTCTTGAAGATAAATGAAGTTAATAGACTTTATGTTTTGAAGAGTACAACATCCAATGGTGAAATATTCAATAAAGTTGGTGAAGGATCATAATTAGGGGAAGCAGAAAAGAGTTAGCTGCCAACAGAAAAGGTTTTGGAATAAAAAAATCACAAGACGAGGATAATTCTAGATATGAACAAGCAGGTCATATTTGTATCCATAGTTTACCCTAGTGCCAAGTTGTTCCAGTGTAGCATTTAGAATGAGGAGGTAGCTACTTAGGAGGTGCAAAAATTCAGTAGCAGGTGCATGTTCAATATTGATGGATCCATCCTAATGTGCAACATGTGTTAAGTCTCTCATGAGTTGACGAAGTGCAGTGTAAATTGGGTTAAATTGCATAGTGCTTGCCCTTCAGAACTTTTAGTGCTCTTTGAAGTACCACACAGAGGTATTTAATCACTAAACACTGAGAAGCTGCATCGAAATTAATCTCAAAAAAGAAGAATATTAGGTAATATGGCACTTAATTTCATTCCTCACTTGTATTCCTCCATATTTTGCATGTAATCTCATCATAAATTTAAATCTTCATTAAGTCTTAATTTGAGAAAGGGGAAAATCTAAGAGATTTTATATTTAATTGAGATATCTTCTCATAAATTGAAAGCTGAGTTGAGAATTTCCTAAAATTTCAATTTTTCTCTACTATAAATTTCCACAATGGTACCCTTTCATGTATCCCAAGCCAAATAGCTGCATCATGACATTGAAGGTGCGAGTATAGAAGCTTGTGATATACCGCTGCTTCATTATAAAGTAGCATATAATGGTCAACACGTTCAAAACACGACCAAGCGTGCAACATGCCTGCGACACACATCAAACACGTTATACGCATGTCCAATTAAGAAAATGAAAAAATATATCAAACACACATGCCCCACATGTCCTACAGATATCCCTTAACGGCTAAGTTTAAATACTTAAATCCCTAAATGGTCAAGCCGTAATTTATTTCTTCAACTACATTGCATTTCACGTGAACATCAGCTCCTAGCTCGCAACTCCCATACATAACATCGCATGCTCACTCCTCTATATGCTGGGTCAAATGTCATTTCTCTTTCATTTTTGATGTCACATCATGTTTATGAAAGGCAAGATAATATTTTATTCATAATCCTTAAACATCATGATATTTATACATCCTAATAAAGTTAGAATTTATTACTCGTTTTATATTTTATTTAATTTGTGCAATTACTAAACAATAATTTTAATTTTGTAAACATATAAATTATAATGATATATACAAAGTGTGTATGCGTCCAATAGTTTCAATAAGAAGTATGTGTTGTGTTTGTATCATATGGTATCTATATTTTTATGTTTGTATCGGTGCATCATGGACAATGACTAATAATCATCATATTTACTCTTGAAGTTGACAAATCTACAATTAAAGTTCGACATACTCTCTTTGCCTAACACAAATTAGGCATGTTCTCTTTTCCTACAAGGAACTTGTTAACATTGAAAGTACAATTAATCTTTAAGCTTCAACAACAAATACATCATATTGTATCAAAAAAAAAGCATAACTTTTGAATAAAGCTAAATTAACAAGAACAAAATGTCATGATAGAAAATTTTTAAAACGTGACTATTTTGAAAAAAAAGGATGCAACTGAAAAAATGGTTCATTATTCTTTTTTTTTTAATAAATCAACAGTACCTATACCACAGGAGGCAAGATAAAGCACTACAGGTGACCCCAACCCTCCAGCTCCAACCACCAAGATTGAAGACTTAGCAAGATTTATTTGTCCTATAACACAAAGAACATGGTCATCATCTCAAAATAAGGGGAAAAAAGTAAGATGTAAAAGAGTAATATTAGCAAAGACGTTGCATTCATAGATAAAAACTTAAAGTTTTTGCAATAAAATAATTGAATTTATGTTTATTTAATTTCAATATCTTAAAGCTATTAGCTTAATGAGACAAAATTTATCACTAGATGGAACTCCCTCTTTTATAGAAATACAAATGGCATAGAATCTATACAATAGATTCACCATAAGTATAACAAGCTGGAATTGAAAAGGTTTCAAAAAATTACGCCTATACACTGATGATAAGCTAATATTGATGGCAATAATAATCTCATAAAAAATAACCTTAAGACATTACCTACTTTCTCCCACTTTTATAATAGTAAAATCAATTTAATATATATGCAATAGATTCACAGCAACAAAAATAACAATCAACATGATAGCAAGGTTGAATTGAAAAATATTCAGAGAGCAATGCCTATGTATTGGTGAAAAGCTAATATTAAGGACAATAATGCCCTTCATAAAAAATAAACCTAGAACTTTACCTTCTTTCTTATATACCCTCTACCTATTTCCTCCAAAAAATTGTGCAATTGAGGCATGTGAATGTATTGGGTTTAGTTTTACATCCTATCGGTGAAAATATACAGTGGTGTAGAAATATTAAATGATTGAGCCTCTTTCATAAGCTTAAGGTCTTGGGTTGAAATAGAACCAACACTCCCTACAAACAACTATTAGAGTTGATGGTTCTACTGGGATCAAGTGGTTCGTGGGTTTGTAGATCCCGTGGGTTTTAGTTGACTTATACCATAGTTGAGCAAGATTAAGAGCGGGTGACTTCTATAATAGCTCCATATGGTTGTGTGGGCTTTTGATGCATAACACATCATGTTGAAAACTTGATGCCATAAAAAATTTCATTTAAGAGACAGCGATAATTGATGGAAAGAGCTATCACATGAGAGAAGATTGCCAAGGAATTGAGTTCTGTCCAACCTTATATATGTTAAAAATATTTTAGTGTAGAACTATAAAATTGTTGTCCCTCCCTGATAGACAAGATTTTAGGTTAAAAATAGGTTTGGTCCCCATTAGTCTACACTTCTTTATACAATTTGGCATTATTATGTATTCCAAATGTTCAACATTTCCCAGTTCAACTACAACCAGTGAAGTATGAGCAAGCAAAAATGCCAATTGGCAATCAATGCAAATGAGTAAATGAAAAACAAATATGTGATATGAGTACCAAGAATAGGTGGATGAAAGAAAAACAATGTCAATACCCTGTTAGACCGGTCCACTGGACCGGTCCAGCTGGTCCGCACGGGACCGGCTCAGACGCGAAACGTCGCGTGAACTCCGCCTCCTGCGGAGATCGGGCGGGCCGACAGCTCAAACAGAGCGTTTTAGGAAGGATTTTTGGGGGGTTTTAGAGAGAAATTTGAATGTAGGGACTGTTTAGGGAATTCCTTTTGATTTGTATGCATTAAATAGTTGATTTTTGCTAGGGTTTGGGCATCTTGAATTTGGCTGAAATTTGAGATCTCTTAGATTTAGGTTTCTTTGGGCTCTAGCGGCGTCTAGAGATTTGGGAGAGATCGATCCTCCTCTCGAATTGAGGATCAATTGTATCTTTTCTATTCTTTCATCTATTAGTAAAAAATACAAGTCTTTTCTCCACGGTTTTCTCTCCGATTTGCTATTTTTCCACTGTTTCTTGGCTGATTTCTGCTGTGGACAGCAGTTTTACATTGGATCTACATGGTTTTGGTGAGAAACACTTGGAAATCCAAGTGTTTCCTATCATACCCCTCATTACTTTTAAATGAGGAGATTTTGTATAATCCAATTCAACATATGACCAGGCATATATAAAAATTATTGTTTACAACTTATTTTTCTTGTCCTTTGATCTTAAAGTAGATTAGATAGTTTGCCATTCAAACAAAAAATGAGTATTTCAAAGATTACACATCACTATTAAAAAACTATTAATTGCAGCATACCAACACCATAAATGCCTAGAAACAAATTGTTTATAATTGTTAGTGGAAGATGGACTACAAAGGAAGGTTGATAAACAACTTAATTAGTAGTATATAAAAAAATGCATAACTTAATCTAGTTTGCCAATATTTATTTAATTAATTGGTCATGATCAGACCACTCTAATTTTTATTTTGCTGACCAAAGTGGTCAGATGCTTACATATTTGACCCAATTTGATCTTTCTTTCAGGATCACATGCTATTGTTACTCCAAGACGCATTAAATTTTACAATTAATTAATTCATTCAATAACTTTTCAAGCTAAAATATTGAAAGTTTAATAAAACATTCATCAAAATGCATCTATAAAACTACAATGTACTTAAATACCAATAAGCTGGTAATATAAAACTATGTATGTTAAACTGATGAGCACAAAAATTCAAGAAAACCAACACCTTCAACACCAAAATCAGGAAGCAAGAGATGGCGACTGTATCTGTAGATCATTCCTGGCGTCAAACCATTAGAAGAAACGGCGTGCCCATCCAAGATAGAATCATAACTCGAACAGGCTTGATTAGCTTTCATTTGTACAGCTTCATCAGCCTTCAGCTGAGCCTCAAGCTTGCTTATACGATTCTCAATCTCCTTTTTATCTAATTTCAGCTTCTCAATCTCATGAATAATATCAGCAGACCCATTACCCACGATTTTGTAATCCATGCTATCGTTTTCTTTTTCACTTAAAGCTCTGCATACAACAAAGCCAGCTTCAATTTTCAATAAGAAAATTAAAAAAAAAAAATTATTTTTACTTACTATTTACTCTTCCATGAAAATAAATAGAATTAATCAATTTTACTGCAGATATCCGGCTTGGAGTAAATTAGAGGTCCAACATACAAGGAACGCTTCTGATGGAAAAAGATTAATCAAGGAAAAAATGGTTGAGACAGATCAAAGCAATTCTATCCATACTTGATGCACCAAAATGTTAATATGCTCCAAACAAATAATGGATTGAACATAACATTGCGGGAAACGATAAACCATACTCTTAAAAACCTTTACCCAAAAACATAATTTTCAATATAGCCGAAAAAATTCAGGCATGAAACGCCATAGTTTCATCGTCGGAGGAATAGGCGTTCGGGGGAGGATCAGGAGCGAACGGGTATGAAGGAAGAGTTTAGGAGATGAAGATGCAGATTACCTACCGCCGCCTTGGATCGACAGAGGCCGTGGAAGTTGCCGCTGAAATGCAGGGATTCGAGATTCCGGAGGAGAAGCCTTAAAAAAAGGCAGCGAGGTTTTTGGGCTGGAGGTTTCGTTCCTCAGAAGATCTAAAACCGAGTTGTTTTTCTTTTTCGGAGGTTTTGCTATTTGGTTGCAATTTGCAAATAATGTTAGTATAATGTAAATTAAACGAAAGGCTTTTAAAAAATTTATATTTAAATGAAAATAAAGCAAATGTGGAGGAAAATTTTAATATATTTTGAATTATATTTTCTAATTCATTTTTAAATGTATTTGGACTATGTACAATTTCAAAGAATTACAAAGATTCACCGTTAGTAATTATCATCTTACTCTTTATCCTAATATTATTTGTCGCTATTTGTCAACAAAAATTTACATAAATAATTTTACTTTAAATTAAATAAATAACTCAAAAATATTTTAAAATATACCAAAATTTATTTACATTGCATTCTTTTTTCACCAAATCAAATGAGCATTTAGTAAATTATAATTAATTGTATGTATTTTGTTAACTTTCAGCTCGTCTATTTAGATAATATTTTGTTAAAATATTGGGAGTGCTTGGTAAAAAATAAGAATTTTATTTTATTTTATATTTAGTAGAAAATGAATTAAATATAAATATTTATAGAGTTACATACATAACATAAATTTTTATTTATTTACATATATAACACTTAAATAGTTATATTTACTTAAATAACACTCATATTTGATATTTCTAAATCAAATAAAAAAGTTATTCATAATAAATTATAATAATTTTAAATTAATATTATGATATTATCCTTTGAGACTCATAATATTATGCCTGCATCAACAATTTTCTAAAATCTATAAATATGATAATAAATTTCTTATTTTGGATTTTTTTTTCGTACAGCTCCGCTATGAAATACCTTAAGTAAAAGAAATTAAACTCTTAACTATTGAGATATTTCCCTCTTTGATCTAAGAGCCTCACAGTTTTTTCTTGTTGATATAACTTTATAGTAGGTCACCCATCCAAAAATTACTTCGAAAATAGCATGCTTAATTACAGAGTTTCTTAAATAAAATTACAACCATTACACCAAAATGTGTCTCGATATTTAAGACTTTATTATGGTATCAAAGTAATAATTATTGGAAAAAAAGAAATATAACTAGAGCTTATAAGCATAATATAAATGTGATTTGCAATTTATAATTTGTTGATTTGATTTTTGAAATTTTGTTTTAAGCATGCTCTCTCTCTCTCTCTCTCTGTGACTAATATAGAAATGTTGAGGACGACATTTTTCGAATGTGAAGAAATTATAATTTAGCTTTTTTTACTTAAGGGGTTCCACAGCACATACATTGTGTACCTGAGCGCCCTGACACAATGTTTCCGAGCACTCCGGTTCAGCATAGTTTGCTGAAAGAAATGATAACAAGTGGAGCACTGCAACCCTCTAGATTCGATACTGCAGCGTTGTGTTATGCAGCATGATGATGACAGAGGCTTGAGAGTCGCAGAACTCCAATTTGGCATTGCAGGGCTGCAAGGCAGACTGAACATTTCTTTCTTATTTTTTTCTCAAGGGTGGCGTCCCTTGGTGTTATTAACTGATCTTTCTCTTTTGTTTTGAGTGTAATAATCCTGTAAGAAAGAAGAGAAGCAAGGAAAGAGCAATATAGGAGAGATTTGTACTTATTTCTTCTTATTTTCATAGTGGATTTGTTGGTGTAGTGTGGCTCTGTATTTTTTTTTTTCGATTTCGGATTTTTTCAAGTTAAATCCTGTTGTCATTTTCTTTACGCTGCATTTCTATTTTTCTTGTTTGTTTCGTCGCGGTATATTACTTCCCATCCTCAATAGATTGACCCCTTCATCTTCTTTCTCTTTTGAGCTCTGTATCTCTTCTTCCATTGTGCCTAAATTTTCAAAGAAAAATGATGAATGTTCCAAAGAAATTAGATCTGAGCATGAAGGATCATGAAGAGTAACTCTATAAGAGAAGCCAAAATGGAGAAAAGTAAAGCTGGAGGTTGGTGAGGCAACTGAAATAGCAAATCTAAAAACTTTGGCTACCTCTCCCAACTACCTTTTGAATGTTCTTTCCAACTGAGGCTTTGTTTGGGACGGCTTTTTTATTTCTTTTTAAAACGGAGTTTTAGTACAAATTTTTTTATTTTTTAACTAAAACTACGTTTTAGAAAACAATAAAAAAGTCGTCCCAAACGAAGGCTGAGTCTACTCTTTTGACTGAAACAGCTGGCGAGCGTTTGGTTCCTCTTTCTGAACCCATAAACGAACCAATAAAAGGCTCTATCATTTTTGTTGTGCAAACAAACACAGCAGAAATAAAAATTAAAAAATCACACAACATAATCAATCACAAAGAAGACAACGATTTACGTGGTTCGGCAAAGATGCCTACGTCCACGAGGAAGGAATGATGATTTCACTATATTGGAGAACAATATGGAACAATAGCTTTCAAGCTTTCTCACTGCCTCTCATAAGCCCTCAAACAATAAAGAAAGCTTCTTAATCTACTCATGAATCAAATATCAATCAAATCAATTAATTAGGGAAGCAATCTATTTCCTAATCAATTGAAATAATGAGTCATTAAAGTTTTACAAATAAAACTTTATTATGATTTGAAAATAAATCCAAATCAACAATTTTGAAACCAAAATCCGTGATGCCGTCGTTGAGCAGGATCCAAGTGCTCCTTTGAATTATGATGGCCGAGTTCCTGATACTATGGAGAAAGTTGCTAAGTTTTTTTTTTTCTCCTGAAATAGCAACTTCAACTGCCCTTCTGATTTCATTTGTTCTCGCTGATGCTGAGACTTCAATGGTTGCTCCTCCAATAGCAACAACGGCTACAACTATACATGCACAGGTGACAACTTCGAATGCTCCTGTTGAGGTGGTGACCTCAAAAGTTTTGGATGAGTCTGCCTTTCTTGAAAGTATCCCATTCAAGCTAGACTCTTCCTCAAAAAGAAACCTTCATAAATGAAAAAAGTTCGCAAAGTAGCTAGAAGAGGGAAAGAGGAAGTAAGTTATGACAAGTGGTCCTATGGCTAATGTCAAAGATGTTGTCAAGTCTTCCTTAAAGAAGAAAGATTCTAAAAAATACTTCTTGATCAATTAGTGATTGCTTTGTGCATCAATTTTTGTGTTGGCCTGGCTATTTTCTAAGCAGATATCGATGAAAAATGATGCGCTAACTTCTCCAAAACTTCCTGGTAGTCATGAAATTGGCATTTGAATTTAGGGGATGTTTGGTATGCGAATTTCAAGTGGATTTGAGGTAAAATCTAGCCAAACGGCCTAAAATGCAAAACCAAATCTCACAGAAAATGGAAGTCTCTGTAGATGGAAAATTTCTCCTTTTCGTCGTAAATCCTAGATTCCCGAATCCTATCGTTCGGCGGATTTCCAAAATCCTCTGGCTCTATTGGCACGCGAAGGAAGAAACTCCGTCCAAATCTTTCATCCTCCTTAAATCCTGAATGGAATATCCAAACAGTCAAATAGGATTTATCATGAAGGATACCAAACAGATTTCGGGATTTAACCCCCTCAGGATTTCGTAAATCCGAATTTGGAGGATTTACAAAATCCTACTTAAATGAAATCCTAGATTCTACCAAACAGCCTCTTAATGTTGATGTTGAGTAAAGACTGACCATAGAAGTAAGTTCATGATAAACTATTTTATTCAATAAAGCCGCTTGAGAAAAAGGTTAAGAACATAATTAGGGAATTTGTTGAAGGAAGAAAATAATGACAAGGAAGCTTCTCTAGTATTGGCAACTTCCATTTTTGAGAAGGAAGAGAAGAGCTTGAAGTCACCTACGATAGAGCAGAAGACCTTGTGAGGCAGCTTCAAGGGAAAAGAGGAAGAACGCGAAGCGAGTCATCAGTCCCTGTTGGATGAGAAGAGAACATTCAAAAGACAACTGACGAGATTACAACAAAAATTAGTCATTCTGCCAATTACAAAGCTCTCTTAACTAAATTTTAAGGTGTCTGCTTTTGTTAGCTTGGATAAGCTAATAGAAGGGAGAGTTATACCTCTTAAATTTAAGGACATAGAAAACTTTTATAGGTATGTATCATATGAGTCTTCAAAAACTAGTTCAAAATTTTATTTGGGATGTCATTTTTACTACTAAAAATGACTTTTTAGTGCAAAAAATTAAAATTTGTGCACTAAAAAATTGCTTTAATAAGCAGTAAGAAAGCTATTCCAAATGAAGCCCATGTGACGACACAGAAAGTGCCATAAGTGACTACAAAAAAAATTATTTTTATTTTTTTAAGGACTTCTATATTTATTAGGAAAACTTTGAATTAAAGTTTAATTTTCTATGGTATTGTTTCTCCCTTTTTAATATTGCTGTAAAGCTGAGTACTTCTCAAGGTTATTGAGCAAGTAAGAAAACACGAGTGATTTGTGAATAACCAAAATAGTTGAATACATGAGTACTTCATATTTTCAAATATCCAAAGAAATTTTTGAATCACCAAACAGGAATTCACAAGATTGCCAGATATCCAAGAAATAGATTTGTATTATATATTATTTTTCTTATATTATGACTCGAACTAAAAAGAAGGATGGATGATTTCAATAAGCTCAAACTATCCGTCTACTTGGGAGCCATTCCATTGGCTTTCTTTTAAGGAGTAGTCTCACAATTTTTAAACTTGGCTTAAGCTGAGGAGAAATTATTGGGTCAGGTCACCAGACACAGCTTACATTTGGTATTTACAGTATTGAGTAGTACTGAACTCGATACTTTGAAATACTGAGTACCGAGCAGTATTGAGCGCGGTACTGAGCAGTACCGAGCTTGGTATTGTTTGGCACTGCTCAGTACCGAGTAGGAGGTGATGTGGCCCATTTTCATTGAGCTCCGAACACGTCCGATGACCTGACCCAATAATTTCCCTAAGCTGAGATCACCATGACCCCAAACTTTAATTAATCTGCATTTTCTCTTCTCTTTCATTAATAAAGTACACATTTAGGAAATAGTTTTCTCCGATGTTGATTTAATCGTTCATTAAGACTTGAAGCTACCCGACTTTAAAAGAAATTTCTATATTCCTATTACATTCACCTCTTTCCATTGGTCAAA